AGAGACTTGAACCGAAACGGCTGGTCCTCTGGAGCTAGAGACAGGCTAGGATGAAGCCGCAAGGATCAATGCTACCTGACCAATGTAAGGGTGAAGCTGCGTTACCAGAAGTGAGCAGATAGAGGGAAGGACGGCACGCCAGGAAAAGGTATCCTGGTCAGGGTGCCTTAGAACGACACTAGAAGCCGTTAGAGAGCCCGAGCTAAAAGCCCTAGATTTTAGTATGCACTACGCTTCTACAAGATTTTCTAGGAAGCTGAGATCGGTGCCTAGGCTTTCTCCACGGTAAAGAGGAAACCAGTCTGGTACAGTGGTACGTTGGACATGCCCCCAGGATTGATCGCAAGATTAGGAGTCGCCTGGTGGTTGTGGATGTGGGGGGATGATGAGCGAGGGAGGGGGTGGATGTCGGAAATGGATGTGGGAGACACGTGCCCTTCAACAAGAGGGCACTCGCCACCGTGTCCTCACGTTATCAAAGAGGGACTCTAACGCGGCCTAGGAGGGATGTGATTCAACCACACCCAAACTTCGCAAATAGCACTAGGTGTCAATGTACCTATTTATTCATACAAAGAGACCACCACTAGAAATCATGTTTTCATCATATCTTCTAAGTGAATACAACCATTTTATGTCACATATTATGAAATTATTTCATAATGAAATATGTGTCTTGACCAATAGATGTCACCTGTTATTGCTCATGTGCACAAATATCACAAACTAAGTGGTGTCTGTATAATGGTACAGTCGGATTCGAACGTGTAGCGTTGTATGAAACCAGTAAAGGTTGGTGACGAAGTGGTCGGTGACAGCATAACGCTGGACAGTTTCGAAGCCTGCGTATCAACATATCGCCGTTGTGGAGCAACGGTACGGGCAGGGCAGACAGGGACAGGCTGGGCGCTTGCCCATTGGTCAACATTCAACATCGATGCTGCTCTTCCAGTGTCGTCACGTCAGTGAGCAGGTGGTTGGCAGGAATCGACGCGGATACTGCGAATTGCGACACCCCTAACCTGCGCGACGGATTCACACCGAAACGAAAATGGTTCGACGACGCTTATGGACGAAAAGCTTGACTGGAGATGTAGGGTAGGTCGCGAAAACTGTTCGCTTGTGGGCGGGTTGTGATTGGGTGCAGAATTTGTGGTACAGGCTGAAGGAATATTAGTCGCGTCGCATGTGGGTCTATGTGTGAGTTTCTCCATACATCCAGCATGACGTGTCCTGAACGACTGGTTGCGATGCTTTGCGAAACACCTGGGCTGTCCACTGATCCAGAGTTACAAACGGCAATACATCGCTACCATCCCTAATGTCGACGACAAGTGGCCCCTGTCCTCTTGGTGTGCTGTGGAGTGTGTGTAGCATCTGAACTGCCCGAGTCGCAGATTTCTGTTCAGTTGATCGCACCATGCATGGCCCTCTCGGATTCCGCCCAAACAGCCAAGTGCCTGATGCTTGCCCTCCAAAACCCACATGCACTCCCTCCTGCCATACAAAACAGGAAGGCATTCGACATTCTCACAAACAATTCCAAAACCTTTCAATCGACAAACGCGCATGTGTTGTTAGAGTGAACCGTGCAGGTGAACCTCACTCAGCGCTGAGTGGTGCTCGACAGGCTCGCCTACTCGGCAGAAAACCCACCCCTAGCTGGAACCTCGCTCCCTCTGGTCACTTGCACCGCTCCGATCATTCCCTGGTTTCCATTTTTTTATCCCCGCCTCAAGAATCTGCTGAAGTTACGACGAGCAGATAAGGCATTTATCTAGTCTCTCATACAGCGCACTAGTTCAGCCTCGCTATTCTAAATCTCCACCCCGCACCCCATCGAGTGATCATGGCACAGCAATACCGCGTTCCAACCCTCCTCTCCCTCCTCCTCCTCCTCTGTACATCTCTCCCGTCCGCCTTCTCCTCTCCAAATCACCGTCGCCTCACCCCTCGCGAGAGGATCCTTCGCGACGGCGCGCTGCTCGCCGACAGAAGCCACTCCGTCATCTTCAAAAAGAGCGCATCAAGCGTCGATTCTGCCAATTCCGGTGTGAGCGAAGTCGCCGCAGACACCCGACGAGGCCTAACCGGCGGCGGCGGCCAGCGGCAGGGGTCGTCATTCGCGATCGCCAACGGCATTTCGCGCGGCAGCTTGATCCAGAGCTTGCCCGGGCCAGCGGGCGACTCGGAAATCTACGATTTCGGCAGCGACGCCCGGCGTTACGAATCCGCTAAAACCGAACGGTTTAAAGCGCCTAATGATGGCGATCGATCCGAAGCGCCGTCGCTTACCATATTCTGCGCGCCGAAACCCTACCCTTCCATCCTGGACCCTTCAGACCCTAACCCCGACCCGCAGCGGCGCGCTTTGCTGTCCTGGCTGCGCCTCTCCCCGCCCCCCCAAATCGTCCTTTTCGGGAACGACACGTCGTTCCACGAGCTCGCGCGTCGCTTTCCCGCGCAGATCTCCGTCGAGCCGCTAATCGACAGCAATTTCTACGGCGTGCCGCAATTCCACAGCATGGTGGCGCGCGCGCAGGCCGCGACGACCGACATCTCGATGATCATTAACGGGGATATTATTCTCCTGAATGACGTCATGCTCGCGCTGCAGAAGACGCACGGAACCTTCCAGCACTGGGTGATGACCGCGGCGCGGTGGGACATGCCGGAGGATTTTCCGTACTCGTTCGAGCCGCAGATGTGGGGGCAGAGGGGGCTGGCGCGCGGCCGCAGCCACGCGGCGATGGAGGAGGAGATCCGCGGGTTCGTACGCGATATAGGCACGCTGCACACGTACGGCGGGGTGGACTTTTGGGCGTGGAACAACGACTCGCCCGCGCCGCTGCACGAGGGCGCCATGCCGCCGTTCTCGTTCGGGCGTGGGAAATACGACAACTGGTTCACGCATGAGATCGTGTCGGCAGGATTGAGGAACATGGTAGACGCCAGCGAGGCGGTCACGGCGATCCACGTGGCGCATTCCTATTCGCACGTGGTTGAATCAGCGGCGAGCAAGAGCATCGGCAGCAGCAGCGGCGGGGGGGGGAGCGGAAACGGAAACGGTAACGGGTTAGCAGGGCAGAATTTCTGGAGCACGAGGAAGAAGAGCAGCTGGGAGCTGTTCGCCAACATCCACCTGGCAATGACGCACGGTTCGTACGCCAATCAGAAGGGTACAGCTCTACACGTCCCCTGGAAGCTCGCCACGTGTCACGAGCCCTCCGTTCACAACATGTGCCTGCAGCAGCGCCTCCGCCCCGCCACGTGCACGTGCGAATCCGCAAATTTTGTGAAATCGAGCCAGACGGACCCGAAGCTGGATAAGACGGGCAGGAAATGGACATGTGGCAGCGTGTCAGTGGACAGGAATTCGGACTACACCATTCCCACTGTTCCTCCTCCTGCGGCTGCTGAAGCCCCTGTTGGCCTCCCTCACACTATGGAGCAGCTTCTGCCAACCATCGCTCGGAGTGTGCCGGATGGGAAGGGGGGCTCGTTGCAGGTGGTGACGCTGGTGGCGGTGACGGCGGGGTACGCGGAGATGCTGATGAGCTTTGTGTGCCGCCTGCGCTCCCTCGGCCTCGCCTCCAACCTCCTCGTTGCTGCGCTCGACGAGGACCTCTACCGCTTCGCCTTCACGCAGGGCCTGCCGGTTTACTATGAGCAGGTCAGCCAGGGGCTCAAGGGGGTGGACTCAAAGGACTGTGCCTTTGGCAGCCAGTGCTTTAGGCAGTTTACCAAGCTGAAGTCCCGGGCTGTTCTTCGGGTGCTCAAGGCTGGTTACTCTGTGCTCTGGACGGATGTTGACATTGTCTGGTTCACCGACCCTCTCCCGGACCTGCTGAGTTACGGCCCGGGGACGTTCCCGATCCAGAGCAACGAGCCGAACACGACGCTGCCTGGGACAGGCATTCGGCGAATCAACTCTGGGTTCTACTTTGCTCGGGCAGATAAGAAAACAGTCGACGCGTTTGAAGCCATCACTGCACATGCAGCTACCACGAGGCTATCGGAGCAACCTAGCTTCTACGATATTCTGTGTGGGGTGAAAGGTGAGAACGTGGTGGAGGGGAAGGAGGAGTGTGTGTGGCAAAACGGCCTTCGCACCATCTTCCTTGATAGGGTGGTTTATGCGAATGGTGCTGCTCATGCGTTCTGGGATGAGGAGGATGTGGAGGGGACGTGCAGGAGGAAGGGATGTGCCATTCTGCACAACAACTGGATTGCTGGAAAGGATGCGAAGAAGCAGCGGTTTGTGGTGAACTCATTCTGGCACTATGATTTGGAGAAGAGGATGTGCATGTGGCGGTGGCATAGTAGCGCGCCTCAAAAAAGAGTTGCGAGCAGGATTGCAGCCATGAAGTGAGCTAATGGGATGAATGCATTATAACAAAATTCTTTTTTAGTGAAACATTTATATAAACATAAACGCATTGTATTGTATCCGTTGAGGCGTGTCTGAGAAGTGTAGCATAGAGGCCAGAATTCACGGTGCGTATCGGGGCCGATTATATGACGGAAGAAGACGAGGGACCCACGCTGAGACTTGCCTCACTTGCCCTATGGATCCCACCAGGCAACCTGGTCAGAGTCGATGTTGCTTCCATGCGAAAATAAGCTTTCAAAGCTGACATGGCAAAAAGGGGATTGGTGCTGGCTGCCAGGCAAAGCCAGCCTGCCCGCCCACAGGCAATGCCTAAACCCCAACACCACCCTACCTGCCCCTAAATGCATACATTCCCCCACCCTCAGTAAGCAAACACTCAAGACGAAGAGAATCTCGATGGTAACAGCGTACCACAGACTGATCACCTCGTGTGACTGGAGCGAACTAGGTTCGAGCAAGCTTTCGCGCTCCTTCGTCGTGTTGTTGTCACAAAGTTTACTTCGCATAGCTCATCCATACGAAACCAATTCCCCTCCTTCGCATCGCGCTTCCTGGACAGCTTTATTCTTCCCGGCAACTAGCCATCTTTCTCCGTCGTGACTCTTGCATGATAGCCTTATGCATTCCGCCATTACCTCACCAATAAGTACCTCCAAATTCCAGCATTCTCGCATTCGCCTGTCGCCATCAGATTATTTGACACCGTCGACACACCGTAGTCACACTAATAGTAGTCACAAAGGAGGCAATTGTCGGTTGTACTTGGCATAAATTCGGAAAACACTTCCCGTGAGCAGCATTTGGGATCCAATGGCTCCCCATAGATGCTTACTCCTAGCAGTAATAACCCTGGCCGTCACCATAACTCTTCTCCCCGTCGCCACTGCAAACAAGCACACCCCACAGTCACACCGCCACCAGAAGCAACCGCAGCAGCAGCGCCAGCCCCATTTCCTCACCATATTCACAGCACCCAAGCCCTACACGTCCATCCTCGACCCTTCCTCCCCCCACGCGGACCCGCAGCGGCGCGCGCTGCTCTCCTGGCTGCGCTTGCGCCCGTCCCCCAAGATCGTCCTCCTGGGGAACGACTCCTCTTTCCACGCGCTCGCGCGGCAATTCCCCGAGCACGTCGCGGTCGAATCCGCTATCGACACGAATTTCTACGGTGTGCCGCAGGTGAGGAGTCTATTTTCGAGGCGCTTTATAAGGATTCTATCTTTTTGCTACATTTTGTAGTTTATTTTGGTATATTTTTTAGGTGCCTCGAAACCGCCACCGATACGAATTTCTACGGCGTGCCGCAGGTCCATAGCGTTATCGCGCGCGCTCAAACCGCGGATACGCCCGTCTCGATGGTCATCAACGCAGATGTCGTGCTACTGAACGACGTCATGGCTGCCATGCGAAAAGTTCACGAAAGCTTTCGCCACTGGGTGGTAACCGCGGCGCGGTGGGACATGCCCGAGGATTTTCCGTACTCGTTCGAGCGGGAAATGTGGGCGGGCCGCGGCCATCGGGAACATGAGGCGACAATTCGCGAGTTCGTACGTACGCACGGCACGCTGCACACGTACGGCGGAGTCGACTTCTGGGCGTGGAACAACGACGACCGTACGCCGGTCCCGCTGGTGAAAGAAACCGTACCGCCGTTCTCGTACGGTCGCGGGAAGTACGACAACTGGCTGACGCATGAGATCATCGCGTCGGGATTGCGGGAGATTGTCGACGCCAGCGAGGCCGTCACGGCCGTGCACGTGGCGCACTCCTATTCGCACGTGGTGGAGTCGGCGTTCACGAAAAACGCGGCGGGATTGGCGGGGAAGAGCTTCTGGAGCACGCGGGTGAACAGTAGCTGGGAGCTGTTCGCCAACATTCACCTCGCGCACACGCACGGCACGTACGCCAATCAGAAAGGGACACCTCTGCACGTGCCGGTCAAGCTGATGAACTGCCTGGAAGCTTCGGGTGAGACTATTCCTCTTGGTGGCTCCGCCATGATATAAAATCCCCTGCATGAATTCCCCTGCATCAATTCCCCTGCATGAATTCCCCTGCATCAATTCCCCTGCATGAATTCCCTTACATGAATCCCCTGCATGAATTCCCCTGCATGAATCCCCTGCATGAATTCCCTTGCATGAATTCCCTTGCATGAATTCCCCTGCATGAATCCCCCTGCATGAATTCCCCTGCATGAATTCCCTTGCATGAATTCCCTTGCATGAATTTCCCTGCATATATTCCCCTAGAGAAATATCTTATTTTCGCCTTCCCCCGGAATTTAAGTTCTACGAGTGCCCTCCAATCCCCTGCATCCTTCTTTCCCCTGACTGGCCTCCCCACACTCCCCATTTCTAGGGTCAACTTTCCCCCTTGGCCCCTTGGCCTTCACCACCCACTCCTCCTCTGACCGACCCCAGCCCATACTCCCCTCCCTCTCCTCCCAGCCAACTTCCTTTGCCTGCAGCGGCACCTGCGCCCCGCGGTCTGTCCGTGGAAGTACTCCTCCTCAGTGGCCTCTCAGACGGACGCCAAGCTGAACATTCCTCGCTCTCTCGCCCATACCCCCACCCCTTCCTCCCCATCCCCCCCACAGCCAACTTCCTTTGCCTGCAGCGGCGCCTGCGCCCCGCGGTGTGTTCGTGCGAGTACTCCTCCTCAGTGGCCGCCTCTCAGACGGACCCCAAGCTGAGCGCCAAGCAGCAGCAGTGGACGTGCGGGTCTGTGGCCTCCACCAACGTCACCGACTACACCATCAACCCCATCCCCCACACAGCTAACTCCTCCAGCAGCAGCAGCAGCAGCAGCAGTGCAGGAACGGGGAATCCAGCCAACTCCTCCTCCTCCTCCTCCCCCTCCTCCTCTCCTGTGGGCCTCCCCCACACCATGGAGCAGCTGCTGCCAGTGTTAGCGCGCAGGGTACCGGACGGGCAGGGAGGGGAGCTACAGGTGGTGACGCTGGTGGCGGTGACGGCGGGGTATGCAGAGATGCTGATGAGCTTTGTGTGCCGCCTGCGCTCCCTCGGCCTCGCCTCCAACCTCCTCGTCGCCGCCCTCGACGAGGACCTCTACCGCTTCGCCTTCACGCAGGGCCTGCCCGTGTACTACGAGCAGGTGGGCTAGCTCTCTCCCCCTGCCTCCCTCTTCTTTCTCCCTCATTCTCTCCCCCCCCTCTTCTCTCTCTTTCTTCCCCCCCCTTCTCCCGTTCTTTCTTCTTTCCAAGCTCATACAGGCAAGTGAGGAAGTAGAGCACATGAGAACCTGTGAGTGGGGCTACGGCAGCCGGTGCTTCCGCCATTTCACCAAGCTCAAGTCTCCGTCTGTCCTCAAAGTCCTCATGGCCGACCACATTCTTATTCACTCTCCCCCCATTTGCCCCCCTACCTTGCAGGCAAGTGAGGAAGTCAAGCACATGCGTGCCAGTGAGTGTGCTATGGCAGCCAGTGCTTCCGCCATGTCACCAAGCTCATTTCATGCCCCATTCTCCTCACTTCCTCCGAAACAGGCAAGCGAAGAGGTGAAGCACATGAGAGCCAGTGAGTGTGGCTACGGCAGCCAGTGCTTCCGCCATTTCACCAAGCTAAAGTCTCGCTCCGTGCTCAAAGTCCTCAAGGCCGGTTACTCAGTGCTCTGGACCGATGTCGACATCGTCTGGTTCACCGACCCTCTCCCGGACCTCCTCTCGTATGGCTCGGGAACTCTCCCAATCCAGAGCAACGAACCGGACGCGAACCTTCCAGGAACCGGTGTCCGGAGGATCAACTCGGGGTTCTATTTCGCCCGGGCAGACCAGAAAACAGTCGAGGCGTTCGAGGCGATCACTGCGCATGCAGCAGCGACAAAACTTTCGGAGCAGCCGAGTTTCTATGATGTTCTATGTGGGGAGGCAGGGGAGCTTGTAGCTGCCGGAAGGGAGGAGTGCGTGTGGAAGAACGGGCTAAGAACCGTGTTTCTAGACAGAGCTCGATACCCCAACGGTGCGGTACATGGCTTGTGGGAGCAGAAGGATGTGAGCCGGGCGTGTGCCAAGGTGGGATGCTCCATTCTGCATAATAACTGGATTTCGGGGCGGGAGGAGAAGATGAGGCGGTTTCTGATGAACGACATGTGGCATTACGATGCTGAACGGCACATGTGCGTGTGGGAGTGGCATGGGAAGGTGCCGCCGTTGGTGAGGCATGGGGGGGATGGGATAGGCAGAGTTGAGACGAGCGAGGGAGCTGGTGGGGCGATGCAGAGGAAGAGGGTCCGCAAGCAAGCTTCTGCAGCAGCACTGTAGGGTATGGGTTGAGTTGGGTTGATTTGACTTGCTTGCACAGTTAACCACGCAGTTCTATGAATAGCAGCACTTTTTCGGGGGGGCCTCCCCTCCTGTGATTGAGTTGAGATGCCTTCGTGAACAATGGTTGCTCTATTTTGCTTGCAAGCATGCATCCCTATGGTGAATGACCTACCTAGTCACACAACTGCAGCACAGGTGACATATTCAGCAAGAGTGAATATGATGGGATGGGGTCCAATAAAAGCACCTTCAAATTAGGCTTCTAAGTTACTTTAGTACGTTTCATGTCACTAACAATTTCCTACATGGTACTACCGTAATAGTGAGAATCAGTATCGCCATTACATGGCTGTCAGCATTGCGAGCCCAAAACACACATAGCGTCACATCAGGCAGAATTAGCAGATTTTGGAGGAAATGAGGAAAATAGCTAACCCTAGCTACAAACTCCACCCTAGGCACGATCAGAAGCATACATCAGAAAAGCATACCAGAAGATGAGAAAACCCCTGCAGAGCATCAGCTTGAGCCATTCACGGCTTCTCAATCAGCCAGCGAGTTGGAACTGATGTGCTTCCAGGACCGAGTTCTGCTTCAGTCCAATCACTTCCACCGTGTCCTTCCCTTGAGCGCGCTCGCCGTGGAAGGTAAACCTGAGAGACCCGGGAGGCGCGCCGACCTTCTTTTCGTACGTGTCAAACACCTTCTGCATCTTGGCGCCCTTCTTGACCTTGTACTGAACCTCCTCGCCTTTGTCGCTCACGATCTTGATCAAAATGGCCTCCGTTTCGGGAGTCGCCGCAACCTCTTCCACCTGATCCACGCTGCTTTTCGTCGGAGTCGAGCTTTCATCGGCAGTAGCAGAGCGCCCGCGACGGGTGGCCATGTTGTACAGATTCGATGCCTCTGTTCTGTAAGGAAAAAGCGGTCACGTCCCGTCGGATTCGACGCCCCTGTTCCGTAGGAAAAAAAAGAGAGGAGAAAGCGGACGACCTAGACTAAGGGCTGGTCACGTTCTGAAAAGGGTTCGGACCTTACGATGCCGAGAAAATAACGCTACTACGAACCAATGAATGGGCAGGTTGGAGGACGACTAGGCAAAGGCGACAGGACCATGGGGTGACGAAGGTGGCAAAGACGGCAAAGGTGGCAAACGCCCAAGCAATGTCGCGAGCCGGGAATCAGATAGGCTAGGCGCAACACGTATCGGTTATTTCTACAGAGAGTAATGTTAGGGGAACCGAAGACGAGTCAGATGGAGGAATAACGGGAGTGCAGAGCACTGCTCGTCGGGGAAGAACGAACAAAGCCTGGGCTCAATTCTGAGATGTCTCAAGCTAGTAGTGCTCCAAGGCGTGTCAGATAAGAGGATAAAATAAAATGCTGAAAACATGCACGAGGAGGAGTGTTTCGTGAGGGAAGGGAGGAGAAACACCTGCTACTGTAGTGAGCAGAGAGCCAGCGAAATCTGAGCGGGCCCGACGCCGCGAATGATGGGATGTGCAAGGTTCGAACGGCGGCGATCTGCACTCGCGTACGCGTTAACGGGAGATAGCGTTACGAATGGAATAAGATTGATATCAGATTTCAGTTGCCCTGAAGTCGCATCCAAATATCCATACAATATTATTGAAGCGAAATATATTGTTGTTTACACGGTATTATATGGATTAAACCTTGGTATGTGAAGCGCTAGTAGAAAGATATGTTGGAACACCAGTGAGAAAATCGCTTTCCCTTACACCACACAGTTGTTCACTCATCGTCATCAGAGTCAAATGTGATCTTGGTGGCTTTCTTTGTGACTTGGGAGATGTCCTTGAAATGAGCTCCATACAGCTTGGACTCCTGCAACGAGGAAATAACGAAGTTACCAACCGTCAGCTTCCGATGGGACGTGACAGGAAGATGGAAGCACACCATGGCATGGAAAACTCGAACAAGAAGCTGTGCGTTCTGTCCCGCCCTGCTTTAAAAGAAAATCAAGTAAATTGATGCAACATGTCGTACACCAAGACGTCCATGACGATCACCTTTTTCTTGACGGAGAGGTCGAACTTGAAGAGGCCTTCGGGCACGGGTTGATTGGCCTGGCGCAGCACATTCACCAGCTCGCCTGCACGTGACTGTAATGAACGGACATAGGGGCAAGAAAAAACTTATCAGTTTCATAGGGCGACAAGTGGCCTGGTGCAGCACATTCACCAGCTCACCCGCACGTGACTGTAATGAAGGGGGTTGACACGAGAGGAGTTTCGGCGATTGGTACATCGGAGCCGGCTTGGCACAGCACGTTACCAACTTGCCTGCACGTTACCAACTTCCCTGCACGTTACCAACTTGCCTGCACGTGACTGTCTGTAACAAGGAGGGCTGGATGAGCGAGGAACAGCAAGGAGCCCAACATCCCAAAAGGAGGCCGCTCTTACTGTTGCCTGCAATTAACATTGTGTGCGCAATGCCCTTATCCTCCCCATTACCTCATCATCCAAAGTGCACAGAGTGTGAGCAATGCACTTGTTGCCTGACCCCTGTGAAACCCAAAAGTACCGGCCGTTTCAACACTGTCCCCCCCTCCCCCTCTCCCCCCCGCCCCCCCCCCCTTCCCCATCTCCCTCTCTCACCTTATCCTCTGAAGTGAACAGTGTGTGCGCGATGCCCTTGTTGCCCGCCCTGCCCGTGCGCCCGATGCGATGGACGTAGTCCTCGGTCGTTAGAGGGAAGGTGCAGTTGATAACCACTCTGCGAGAAAGCAGTTGTAGGGGAAGGGGAGAGAGCGGTAAGGTCAATTCGATGCCCTTTGTGGCTTTGGGGCTTGATGCACTTAGTCCTCGGTGCTTAGAGGGAAGGTGCAGTTGGTTACCACCCTGAGAAGGGATGCACACAGCCCTCTGTGGTGAGAGGGGAGGTGCAGATGGTTAGCCACTCTGAAAGGGAAAGGAGAGATGAAAGGGAAGGTTTGGGAAGAGGCCGCCAGTGCAGTTGAACCAGTCACCGCGCTACGCAATTTGCAAGCATGCCAGAACTACCTCGCAAGTTAAGCCGCCTCATCCCATGCACCCCCACACTCAGCCACTCAGCCACCCTCCCAGCCACTCACTCAACATTGGGAATGTCGAGCCCCCTTGCTGCAACGTCCGTAGCCACCTGACACAATGGTAAGGGGGGGAGATGGGATGGAGGGAGGGAGGTGAGTATATGCCTCGGTGTATGCTCGTCTGCCTGCGTGCATGCGTTTTGCTGAAATTACTGACTGCCTTGGTGGATGTGTGAGAGTGGGAGGAATGGGGAGTGTGAGGTGTGTGTGTGTGTGTGTGTGTGTGTGTGTGTGTGTGTGTGTGTGTGTGTGTGTGTTTGGGTGCATGCTCCTAGTCTCACCAGCACAGGCACAACGCCGCTCTTGAAGTCGTTGACAGCCTTGGTGCGAAGGTTCTGGTTCTTGTTGCCGTGGATGCCGCCCACCTTGAACCCACTGGGATGAAGGAAGAGGGGAGCAAAGGGAGACAGCAGGGGGCCAAGGGTGGGGGGAGGATTGTTTAGGCGCCTCAAAAATCCACTGGGATGAACGAAGAGGGGAGCAAAACGGGACAGCAGGGGACCAAGGGTGGGGGGAGGGAGAGGAGAGAGGAAGAAGACAAAAAGAGGGGTTAGGACAGGGGGGGTAGGACAGACAGAGCAGGCGAGGGAAGGGAAGGAGGAGAGAAAGGAGGAAGGGTAAGGGCGGAAGAGCAGAGGACGGCAATTGAACACCAATGGTGGACGGCAGCAAGCAAGCATCGATATTGCGCGTGACATACTAAGGTTTAGGACTAGAAACCAAGTGTTCAAAAGGGGAGCAGGCACCAGGTGAGCAGAGGCGGGTAAGAGGGAGAGGGGGGCGCCGGGGGGGAAGGGGGTGTGTGGAGCGTGGGTTGAGTTGAGGGTGCGAAAAAAGCGGCGAGGGTGAGAAAAAAGCGGCGAGGGTGAGAAAAAAGCGGCGAGGGTGAGAAAAAAGCGGCGAGGGTGAGAAAAAAGCGGCAAGGGTGAGAAAAAAGCGGTGAGGGTGAGAAAGTAGGGAGGGAGGAGGGGGGAAGCGGTGGGGTGGAGTACGGAGAAAGGGAGGGGAAAAATGGCGGACTCACTGTGAGGCGAGCAGCGCTTCTATGCGCTCCGCCTCCACCTTGTAGAGCACGAAGACGAGCACCCGGTTGCTGGGAGGGGGGAGGGGAGAGGGAAGGGAGGGGGGAAAAGAAGGGAGGAGAGTATGCTTCTATGCGTTCCGCCTCCACCTTGTAGAGCACAAAGACCAGCACCCGGTTGCTGGGAAGGGGGAGGGGAACAAGAGGCAACGGAGAGGAGAGGAGAGTGTGCGTCGTCGATCGATGCGTTCCGCCTCCGCCTTGTAGAGCACAAAGACGAGCACCCAGTTGCTGGGAGGGGGGGGGAAGGGGGAGGGAATGGGAGGGAATAGAGGGAATGGAGCGGAGCTACACAGCCTCCATTCCCCTTCACCAAGGGAGAAAAAAAATGGGGAAGGGGGGGGGAGTCGACTCGGGAAATCGAGAAGCATCTTCACTGCCATCCCCATAGCATGGGGAGACCGGAGGGATGGTAGGATCCCCATGATGCAACGGTGCGATGATGCGATGGTGGTGCGTGTGTGTGATCTACCGTGGACGGAGCCACAGCTATGAATAGCCCACGAAGGTGATAAATATGAATAGCCTAGAGCGGGTCGCAAGCAGCTCAGGAGCATTGAACGAGCAACACTGCCTCCACTCGCCTTCACCAAGGGTGAAAACAGGGAGGGAGGCGGTTCAGACTCGGGAAATTGAGAAGCATCTTTGCTGCGATCCCCACTGCATGGTGGGATGATGGGCGGATGGGATGATGTGATGGTGCAATGATGCTGCGATCTAGCAGGGGGCCACCATGAAGGCAAGAGATCTGAATGTGCCAGAGCCAGAGGGGCAGCAGCTCAGGAGCATTAAACGAGCAACACAGCCTCCACTCCCCTTCACCAAGGGTGAAAAAAGGCAGGGAGGCGCTTCAGACTCGGGAAATTGAAAAGCATCTTCGCTGCAATCCCCATTGCATGGTGTGGTGGGACGATGAGATGGTGGGATGATAGTATGGTTGTGGGATGATAGTATGGTGGCATGTATCCATGTATGATGGGGATTAAATTTAAAAGGTAGCAGCTCAGGAGCATTGAACGAGCAACACTGCCTCCACTCCCCTTCACCAAGGGTGGAAAAAGGGAGGGAGGCGGTTCAGACTCGGGAAATTAGGAAGCATATTCGCTGCCGTCCCCATTGCATTGCATGGTGTGGTGGGACGATCGGATGATGGGCTGGTGGCATGGTGGCATGGTGACATGGTGGCATGGTGGCATGGTGGCATGGTGGCCTGGTGGCATGGTGGCAAGGTGGCATGGTGGTAGGAAGTCATAAAGGCATGTGCGTGTGAATGTATTCATGAAGGGGCTTTAAGGGGCAGCAGCTCAGGAGCATTAAACGAGCAGCACGGTCCCCATTCCCCCTCACTAGGAGTGGAAGGAGGTGAGTCAGACTCGGGAAATTGAGACGCATCTTCGCTGCCATCCCCATTGCATGGCGTGGTAGATGATGAGATGGTGAGTCCCACCACACCATTGCATGGTGTGGTGGAATGATGAGGATGATGGGGTGTTGGGATGGTGGTACAATGGTCGGGGGTCATAAAGACAGGCATGTACGTCTGTATGTATGTATGTATGTATGTATGTATGTATGTATGTATGTATGTATGTATGTATGTATGTATGTATGTATGTATGTATGGATGGATGGATGGGGCTTGAACGGTAGCAGCTCAGGAGCATTAAACGAGCAACACTGCCTCCGGTCCACTTCACCAGGAGTGAAGAAAGGGAGGGAGGAGCTTCAGACTCGGGAAATTGAGAAGCATCTTCGCTGCAAACCCCATTGAATGGTGGCATGGTGGGATGATGGCATGATGGCATGGTGGCATGGTGGGATGGTGGGATGATGGGAAGGTGCTGTGATCCAGCACGGAAGGAGGCGGTTCAGACTCGGGAAATTGAGAAGCATCTTTGATTCTTCGCTGATGAAGGTGCTGCGCAGCTTCGCTGTGATCCCCCAGTACAGTGTACAGTTGATGCTGGGTGTTTTTCAGAATTCTCAAAAACACCCTGAGAAATCTAAAAAACATCCTGTTTTTCAGAATTCTAAAAAAACACCCTGAAGCATCTTTGATTCTTCGTTAATGAGGGTTCTGTGCAGCTATGCTGCAACCCCCCAGTCCAGTTTACAGTACCCTCATGAGGGTTCTGAACAGCTATGTTGCAGCTTGTATGTACAGGCTCCAGTTACAGTCCACGGCTCGCTCCTCTCATCCCTGGAGATTGCAGAGCCAACCAGCCCTGACTGTCGCTCACCTCCTGATTTTTGATTTTTGATTTTTGATTTTTGATTTTTGATTTTTGATTTTTGATTTTTGAATCACCTACGACTGTCGCTCACCTCCTGGACTTGTGGTATTTCTTGAGAAGTTCGACGAGCAGCTTGTTCTTCTGCCATGGCTCCACCACCTCCACGATCTGAGTCACGTCGTCGTTGGCCGACATGCCGCCCGTGCTCCGACCCACCATCACCTGCCATGCCGTGCCATTGCAATGCCGTACCATGACATAAGCCATGCACAGTGGCAAAAAGGAGCAAGCCAGACACCTTATTATATGCCCTCCTAAACGCTTCGTTTAAGAAGCTTAGCGAGCAGGCTTAAGTTATTACCAAACACAAACACAGACACAAAATTACATCCAGCAGGCTTAGATTATTACCTTGATGGGGTTCTTTTTTTGAGGCGCCTCAAGAATCGGCTTAGATTATTACCTTGATGGGGTTCTTTTTTTGAGGCGCCTCTAAAATCGGCTTAGATTATTACCTTGATGGGGTTCTTGAGGAAATCGCTGGCTAGCTTGGAGATCTCAGGCGGCCACGTGGCACTCAGCATGGCAGTCTGGCGGTCTGATGGATGGAGAAACGGGGGATGGGGATGGGGGGGAACGGGGGGAACGGGGAACGGGGGGAACGGGGAACGGGGGGAGAGAGAAGGTGAGGAAAAGGGGGGCGTGGGGAAAGAAAGGAGACGCAGTGGTGGAGTGGGAGAAGGGGGAAGGGAGAATTTTTGAGTCGACTCAAAAATCGACTCATTACACACGTGGGAGAAGGGGGAAGGGAGAAGGAGTGGATAACGAGGGAGAAAATAGAATTTAACCTGAACCCCCCCCCCCCCCCCCCCTCTTCCCCACTTCCTCCCCCAAAATAAAAACCTCCCTTCTTCCCCCTACTCCCCTTCGATCCTCCTCAAAAGCCGGTATTCGCCTCTACCCGACTTACCAGCCAGCGTGGCTTGCAGAATGAACCGGATGTCAGGCTCGAACCCCATGTCCAGCATGCGGTCCGCCTCGTCCAGCACCTGTTGCGTGGTGCCACGTGGAAGAAACAGGTTCAAACGGATACTTTAAAGGCTCGAACCCCATGTCATGTCCAGCATGCGGCCCGCCTCGTCCAGGACCTGTTGCGGCATCCATGGGACGCACATGGGCACGAACAGATTCAGGCACATGAGAGCACAAAATACGTGTTGGGAGGGAGGGGCACCTTCTAGTACCCCTTGAATCCCATGTCACGTCCAGCATGCGATCCGCCTCGTCCAGGACCTGTTGCGAGGAGCCACGTGGAAGAAACAGGTTCAAACGGATACTTTAAAGCCTCTGACCCCATGTCCAGCATGCGGCCCGTGGCCACCACCACGCCCGGCGATTGCAGTCTCTCTCCTGAGTCCGCTCATCACCGCTATGCACCATTTCATACCGATATGTACCGTTTCTCACCACGAAGGATGCAGCCGCGAGAGAAATCGTGCCGTCCTGCATGTGGTCCTTGAGGCGCCCCGGCGTCGCCACCACCACGCCCGGCGATTGCGCCAGCGCGGAACGCTGAGCGCCCTTCGGCGCGCCGCCGAACACGCACACCACCCCCACCCCGCAGCGCTTCCCCGCCGCCTCTAGCACCTCCGCGATCTGGCGGGCAAAGCAGAGCAGAAGGAGGGAGGAGGGGAAGTTTGAACAGGGTTGGGGCGGAGGGTGGGGGGGGGGGGGGGGGGGGGGGGGGGGTCGGGTAAGGAGAGGGCTAAGCGCGCGGAGTTTGCAGTAAAGAAGAAGGGAAGGGGGACAGAGGAAGAGCCCCCCCCTATCGACAACACCCATTCCCCCTTTCCGCCACCTCTTCTCCCCACCTTCCCCACCCACTTTCCCCATCCTCCACCCCGCGCCAAACCCGCCCTGATCGCCTCCCGCGCCCGAAAAGAAACCCACCTGTTGCGCAAGCTCGCGAGTCGGCGCGACGACCAGCATCGACGGCTGCGCGGAGCCGTTCCGCTTGCCCCTTCCGCCTCCGCCCTTGCGCGCTTCCAGCGCGTGCTTCAGCCCGGGCACTCCGAACGCCAGCGTTTTCCCCGACCCCGTCGCCGCGATCGCAACCAGATCGCGCCCGCGCAGCAGCACCGGCCACGCCCAGCGCTGGATGGGGGAGGGGGACGCGAACGACGCGCACGCGGAGAGCAGATCCGCGGGGACGTGCGGCGCAGCTTCCGCGAACGAGGCCAGTGGGCGGAGCGGTTGACACGCGGCGGATGATGGGTCAGCGCCGTCGATCTCCAAGCCTTCCACGCGGACGTCCACGTCAGCCCAGCTCTCGAGCTTCGCGTGGGCTGGGGCGGAAGGAGCCGCGGGGGCGGCGGTGGGGGAAGCGGATGCTCTGGCGGGAGAGGAATCGGGGGAAGCGCTCGGCGAAGCGGCGCTGTCGGCGCGCTGCTTCTTCTTGCCTTTCTTCTCGTCTTTCGCGGGCACCGACGCGGCTGCCTCGGTGGCATCACCGCTTAAATCCTCCTGTTTCCGCTTCTTCTCGGCTTTAAGTTTCTTCTCCTTTTTGGCCTTCTTCGCCTCTCTCTTGTCGTCCGCATTTCTCGATCCGATAGACGCATCCGCGCCTTCCGTTGTAATCTCCGCGTTTTCCGCTTGGAGTTTCTTCCCCATGGCGGATTAAAACCCTCGCGCGGGAACGGAACAAATGGGATAAGCGACGCGACGCGTTGCGGTAAGCTCAGCAGCACGAGAGGACAAAGACACAGCGGCGAGAGGTAAGGCAGGAGATGTGGAATTGCAAGTTTCCGCGCTCCGCTCGGGCAAGAGGGAGGCACTGGAATGGTGAAACCGTACCAACCAGAAACGTTGGTTGGTGAAAGAGAACGATAAGTGTGCGAGAAAGCAGCTTTTGTTGCTGCCAGGGTGGGTGGGAGAGAGGAGGGGAGGGTGAAGGTGTGCGACTCGCAACAAACGAAGTTCGAACTTTCATAGAGGTTGAAATCGGTGTGGTCTTTTGCGGTAGGATGTTGGCGAGGTTGGTACTGATGTGGTTCGGTGTGGGTGGAAGCTCGAACAAGAGAGTTCGATTTGGTGCACGCTGAGGGTTGTGGAAGAAGGGGGGAGGCGAGAAGGAAAGGACTAGATGGGATGGGAGGGCGAGGGGGAGAGAGACCAAACAGGCGGGGATGCCGTGGGTGAATGGTGAAACCCTAGCAACTGCCAGCGCAGCGAGGTCGGGAAACATGCAATTCCACAGGTCATGGTTGGGGAATAAGAATTTAGTATCGGTGTATCCATGAATGTAAAGCACAGACAAGTTGCAGTAATCAGACTGTACAGGTGTCAACAAACTTCTTTATAGAGAGGATATTGCCAAGGTGGCGTGAGCTGTTCAGTCGCAGAAACCGCGAATCGCTGACAGCGGAGCCTCATCCACTCCACGTGGCCGCCACTTCTCATCCGCCGTCAGACTCTATGGAATGTCGTAATTCAATGTTCCCTCGATTCAAAACCACAGCCCACAAGCCACGGCCCACAAGCCACGGCCCACCATACCATGACATGATCCATGGCTCCAGCAGCAACCCACTTCAGTTGCCAGTTTGTTCGAAGACCCTGGCAGGCACCTTGATATTGCCTCGGCGTCGCAGGATCTGAGGTCTAGGGCCAGATGTGAGCTTCATCTGTACCATTGCTTTCGCTGTTTTGGCATCTGAATCGGGGAACCGATCAGGCATCGCTGACGGGCAAGCCTTGGAATCCGCGGGAACTGGCCCTTGATAAGTGTGTGGGTATAATAGATTCAAGTCAGACTACTCATATTCGTTGGTTCACAGCGTGAGTTCTGTTTTCGCTCGTTACTCTGCGTTAGGCTGCGAGTTGCGCATCGCACACGCCACCTGGTTGTCAGAGTCGCAGAGCTAGGTTTCGCTACTGAGACTGTAAGGTCACCTGCCAGATATTGGTGAACGGGTGTAGATTCGGGAGATTGAGGTGTACTTGTGCGTTAGTCGACCATGGCTGATTACTACGAGAACCGCCCTGTAGACGATGAGGACAAGGACGATGACGTGGACCCTGACGTGGGCAATGCGGCCAGGGAGGACGCGGAGAGGCTGTCCGAGGGCCTGCCACGTGTCCTGATCGTGTCGCGACGGACGCTTCGCAAGAACAAGTTCGTCGATTTCGTTGGTAAGAGAGGTTGCCGTTGCCGAGAGCAGGAGACCAGGGTGAGCAGTTACTAACTGGCCGGAGAACTTAGTAAGTCTCGGAACGAATGGCTGTTACATCCGTAACGGGTCTTGCCTCTTGTAGCGGAGGATGGCTCTGATTACCTGACGTTCCACTTGACGTTCCACTTGACGTTCCACTTGGCGTTCCACCTGACGTTCCACTTGACGTTCCACTTGACGTTCCACTTGACGTTCCACTTGACGTTCCACTTGGCGTTCCACCTGACGTTCCACCTGACGTTCCACCTGACGTTCCACCTGACGTTCCACCTGACGTTTCACCTGACGTTCCATCTCCACGGGTTTTTTAGTCGACTTTACCATTCATCCATAGCCTCGGAGTGACGAAAACCCACGCCCTCTTCTCTCTGACCCCACACCCTCTTACCCTTCCTTGCTCATTCAGGTGAATACCACCTGGATCTGATCGTCGCCTACGGCGCCGTCCCCGTGATCGTGCCACGTGTCCCCGGCGTGGCGTCGCTGCTGGACGCGTTCGAGCCGATCCACGGCGTGCTGCTGTGCGAGGGCGAGGACATCGACCCCGAGCTCTACGACAGCCAGCTCACCGCTGACCTGTCACCCGAGGAAGTCGCGGAGATCCGCGCCGCGCACGCGAGTGACACGGAGATTGATAAGGCCAAGGACTCGATCGAGCTGTCGCTCGCGAGGCGGTGCCTGGAGCGGTCGATTCCGTACCTCGGGATCTGCCGCGGTAGCCAGGTGCTGAACGTGGCGTCTGGAGGGTCGCTGTACCAGGATGTAGAGACGGAGGTCACCTCGCGCAAGGGCCTGGACTTGAAGCACATCGACTACTCGGACTACGGTGAGAGAGTAGGGCACTTAAAAGTCACCTGACCTCACATCGTGCAAGGGCCTGGACTTGAAGCACATCGACTACTCGGACTATGGTGAGAGACGAGGGAAGCGGAATCTAGTTTTGAGGCGCCTCAAAACTAGACGAGGGAAGCGGAATTGGTGGAATTGCTCCTGTTGCTGTCGTGCCCCTTTTCCCCCACCCCAGACGGCCGCCGGCACCCCATCTTTGTGGCGCTGGTGCCGGACACGCCTCTGACTGGCTGGGTCAACGAGCATCGTGAGTTGCTCCAAGCAACGCTCTTCTCACTAACCTCCTCTTCTTACATGCCTCCTCACCTCCTGTCTTGCACCTCCTCGTGCTTCTTTCTCCCCAGACGGCCACCGGCACCCCATCTTTGTGGTCCCGGACACACCTCTGGCGGAGTGGTTTGAAGGGTCGCTGGAGAAAGCCCGCGAGGCCACTGGGGAGAACGAGCTGCTAGTCAACAGCTACCACCACCAGGTGAGACTAGCGGCACCAGGTGAGACTAGCGGCACCAGGTGAGACTAGCGGCACCAGGTGAGACTAGCGGCACCAGGTGAGACTAGCGGCACCAGGTGAGACTAGCGGCACCAGGTGAGACTAGCGGCACCAGGTGAGACTAGTGGCACCAGGTGACATAGTCAACCGCTACCACCACCAGGTGAGACTGCAGGTACAACCAGGTAAAGTTGTGAGAGTAGCACTACTGGGTGAGACTACCAGCACCAGGTGACATACTCTACCGACACCACCACCTGGTTTCTTTTTTAGAATATTTTGGAGTTACCACCAGATCAATTTTGTAAGAATCACCACCACAATCAGGTAACATGGTAACAAGCTACCACCACCAGATAACAGGACAGACCACCATATCGCACCCGAATGTCAACTGTATTCTTTCCCAACTCTTCCCTCCCCCCCCCACCCATCACTGCGTGCGCGTGCTGGCCTCTCGCTCCCGCCCCATGGCCTTTGCCCCGGGCGGCCTCATAGATCGTACTACGACCTGGACGTGCACTGCCCCCCCAGGGGCGGCTTCTTCGTGGGGCTCCAGTTCCACTCTTAACTTCCCTCCCTCCCTCCCTCCCTCCCTCCCTCCTGTGTCATAACCTTCCTCTGATCTCACGTCATTCCCCTCTTCCCTCCAGGGCGTGCGGGTGCTCGCGTCTCGCTTCCGCCCCATGGCGTTCGCCCCGGACGGCCTAATCGAAGCCTACTACGACCCGGACGTGCACTGCCCCCCCAGAGGCGGCTTCTTCGTGGGGCTGCAGTTCCACCCTGAGCGCATGCGCAGATTCCAGGACGGGGAGGTGCTGCCTGGGGGAGGGCCCAGCTCGCCGCGTGAGGTGTTTGAGTACCCCGAGTGCCCTAGAGCATACCAGGTGAATGGGGCTCCTGAGTCTTCCTTTCCTCTCGGGTTTGGGCTTACCTGATTAGAGGTCTTTAGAGGCTCAAAACAGGTCAGTGGGAGTTTTTGGTGGCAGTGTTGGAATACAAGCGCAGGCTGCGGCTGAGAGTCCCGCACCCCGTCTTCCTCACAGCTTTCCTCCCTTCCTTGGTCACTCACACTCTCCCTCACTCACTCACTCAACCATTCAGGAGTTTGTGGCAGCAGTGGTGGCATATGAACGCAAGGTGCGCCCCAGAATCCCTCGCCCCGTCGCCCTCACAGCACCCCCCACCAGCATTGCTGGTGCGGCCGCAGCTGCCGTTGCTGCCGTTGACGCTGCTGCCGATGCAACCGATAGCTTGGCTAGTGGCATGGCTGCTCTATCCCAAGGAGGAGCAGGAGGAGGGGGAGAGGAGGTAGTAGCAGGAGGTGCTATCACAGCAGGGCCAGGGGCGGGTGGGGTAGGGTCAGCCAGTGGGAAAACACCCGGGGCAGCAGCGGCAGCGGCGGCGGCAGCAGCCGCGGCAAAGGAAGCAGAGGAGCGGGAGAAGCAGCAGGGGAGGGAGAGGGAGAAGGGGTGGGAGGAGGAGTTGGAGCGACGGCGGCTGAGAATCCAGAAGAGCTTCCATGCGGCCAAGGTGGTGTACGAGGAGCGGGTGGTGCTGCGCCGCAACGCCACGGAGAAGGGGGGGTCGTCTGCACTGGCAGCTATAAGGAGGGAGCAGGCTGGCGGGTCGGCTGGGGGGTTTGGAGGGCTTGGGGGGCTGCCAACCTTGCCAGAGGAGAAGCAGGAGCTTGCAATGGGTGCCTCGTTCCTCAAGGTGAGTTGTTCTGTAAAGAGGGGAAATGCCTCAGATTGTAAGCACTTAGAGTGATTGGGTGTGCATTGAGAGAGGAGTGTCCATGCGGCCAAGGTGGCGTACGAGGAGCGGGTGGTGCTGCACCGCAACGCCACGGAGAAGGGCGGCTCGTCCGCCCTGGCTGCTGTAAGGAGGGAGCAGGCTGGCGGGCCGGCTGGGGGGTTTGGGGGGCTTGGCGGCTTACCAACCCTGCCAGAGGAGAAGCAGGAGCTTGCGATCGGGTGAGTGACTGACAGAGAGACAAAGGCAATATGCCTGGTTTTCTACAGAAGGGTAGTCACTGGGTGCGCATCCAGAAGAGCTTCCATGCGGCCAAGGTGGTGTACGAGGAGCGGGTGGTGCTGCGCCGCAACGCCACCGAGAAGGGGGGATCGTCCGCCCTGGCTGCTATCCTGAGGGAGCAGGCTGGCGGGTCGGCTGGGGCGTTTGGAGGGCTTGGCGGCTTACCAACCCTGCCGGAGGAGAAGCAGGAGCTTGCAATTGGTGCCTCGTTCCTCAAGGTGAGTTGTTCTGTAAAGAGATGAATTGCCTCAGATTTTAAGCACTTAGAGTGATTGGGTGCGCATTGAGAGGAGTGTCCATGCGGCCAAGGTGGTGTACGAGGAGCGGGTGGTGCTGCACTGCAACGCCACGGAGAAGGGCGGCTCGTCCGCCCTGGCTGGGATAAGGGGAGAGAAGGCTGGCGGGTCGGCTGTTGGCGGGTCTGGAGGGCTTGGGGGGTTGTCGTCTCTGCCAGAGGAGAAGCAGGAGCGTGCAATGGAGGCCTCGTCCTCGAGGTGAGAGCCTCCTTCGGAAAAGGAGTTCATCATTCTGTACAGTGAAGCTTCGGCCAGCAAGTGGAGCAGTCGTCTGAGGTAGGAGCGAGCAACAAGCCTCAAGCTAAGATCTCGAGGGAGTGCAACGTCAAAACCTTTTAAATTCTCCCTCTCTGCTTCCCCACCCCAGAAGCTCATACCTCTCTGTCTGGCCAGCAGGTGAAGCGGCTATCTCAGTTGGAGGAAACAACAGTGCGCAATGCGCATGTTAAGAGAGAAACGCATGCTTCCCTTGTCCGCTCTTCCCTTCCTTCTTCCTACCAGAAGCTCACACCGCTGTCGGGCCAGCAGGTGAAGCGGCTATCGCAGGTGGGGGCAACAACAGTGCTTAACGGTGCGATGTTTCAAAGAACCTTCCTTTTCTCTTCCTCCCTGTTCCCATATCCAGGAGCTTACCCCCCTGTCGGGCCAGCAGGTGAAGCGGCTATCTCAGGTGGGAGCAACAGTGCGCAACGCGTCGCATGTGAAAGAGGCGCTCGAGAAGAGACGAAACCAGCGGTCGGCGGCGCGGGCGGCACTGGAGGCACTGCATACGAGCGAGCTGGAGGAGATGGTTGCTTTTCACAAGCGCATGGCCGCCTCTGCTGAAGAGGTGCTGGACGCCAGGAGGAAAGCTAGAGGGGAGGTATAGAAGCATGGGCGGTACCACTGGCGGGGCTGCATATGGGCGAGTTGGAGGAGATGGTTGCTTTTTCACCGGCGCATGGCTGCTTCTGCTGAGGAGGTGTTGGAGGCCAGGAGGAAAGCTAGAGGAGAGGTGTAGCGAGGAGTGCGTGTGGGGGAGGAGGTATAGACGCATGGGTGGCACTATGGAGGTGCTGCAAATGCGAAGAAGGGAGCAAGGGGAGAGGTGTAGTTAGTGAGGAGTGGGGGTGGGGGAGGTTGGAAGCATTGGGTGGCACAGGAGGTGCTGCATACAAAGGAGAAAGGGGGGGGGTGTAAAACATGAGTAGGGGTGGAGGGAGAAAAGAAGCATGGGGTGGTGGGCTCTGGAGGTATTGCACGCGAGCGAGGAGGACGAGATGGTTGTTTTCCAGAGGAGGACGAGATGGTTGCTTTCCAGAGGAGGACGAGATGGTTGCTTTCCAGAGGAGGACGAGATGGTTGCTTTCCAGAGGACGAGATGGTTGCTTTCCAGAGGAGGACGAGATGGTTGCTTTCCAGAGGACGAGGTGGTTGCTTTCCAGAGGAGGACGAGATGGTTGTTTTCCAGAGGAGGACGAGATGGTTGCTTTCCAGAGGACGAGATGGTTGCTTTCCAGAGGACGAGATGGTTGCTTTCCAGAGGAGGACGAGATGGTTGCTTTCCAGAGGAGGACGAGATGGTTGCTTTCCAGAGGACGAGATGGTTGCTTTCCAGAGGAGGACGAGATGGTTGCTTTCCAGAGGAGGACGAGATGGTTGGTTTCCAGAGGTGCACGGCCACTTCTGCTGAAAGAGGTGTTGGGCTGGGACTAGGATCGGAAGCAATGAGGAAGGCGGGGGGGGGGGGGGGAAGTGTAGAAGCAGGCGGTGTGTGTACGAGCGAGGGTGATTGAAATGAAAGAGGTGTTGAGAACTGTCGAAAGATCGAGGGACAACTACTACTGTGGTGAAGTTACTGGTAGTCTGGTAGACAATGACGTGGAAAACCCTAGTGGAAAATGTTCAGAAACGCCGACATCATCACATCAGGCTGTCGTGGTCCTGGACTCGACTTCGTGGAATCAAGCATGGCACTCTTCACTGTTCCATCATCATATTGTGAGAGAGACAGCAGTGACGGCTGCAGTAGCGCACTGATTCGGCTGCCTGCACATTTCTTTCAGCTGGTATTAGTTAGCACTGGACGGTTTGTCTTTCCTTCCAACCCATCCCAGTAGCTGCAGCAAGCAGAAGAGACCAAAGCTGGACCCCAAGCAGCCGCAGAGGCGGTCGCCGCCAGTAGCGGTAGCAGCGAAAGCTGATTGACACGCCACACACATGGAATGTTGTGGCCGAACGCGCACTTGAATCCTTTCTCCTGTGCGTTGCCATTGGACTGCATACCCCACGGACTGGTCGTACGTATATCTATCGTCGGTAGCGGTGGCGCTTGAAGTTGATGTACACGTGCAGAATGCCTCGCTCGAACGTGCACTTGAATCCTTTCTTGTGCGAGTACTCCCACTCCTTGTTCACTATGCGGAACGCCTGCAGAAGGGGATCGAGCGGAACCGCGGAGAAAGAATTCACAGGTCTGATAAAAAGCAAAGTCGATTTCCAGGCCTGATGTGTAATACTGTAGGCTAGGACAAATGCGAAACTGACAAACACCCTAAAGGAGAAGGGAACCGAAGGAATCTCAAAGGTGGTGAGGTGGCTTTTGAGTTGAGTCAACTCAAAGTCACCATGGAAGGAATCTCAAAGGTGGTGTCCGTTGAAACCATGGAGGAAAGGAACCGGAGGAAACTGGAGACACCAAAAACACCAAAGTCACCCTAAAGGAGAAAGGAGCGGAAGCCACTCACAATGTCCTCATAGGGCGGGCCGGCATGAAAGCGGATCAAGCACGTCTCGCCGTCGCTGCCATCCTTGTCAATGTGGTACGTCGGCGGCTTGGACCGGTCGATCAGGTCCGGATAAAATATGTTGAACTTGTAGCCCTGTACGATCTTGGGCGGCGGGTTGTCGTGATCGTAGTGCGTCTGGTTGTACTTGTTCCACTCGTACCCCGTGTGCACACGGTTGAAGTACTTGGGCTTGCGCGGCCGGTACTTGTCGTGCCACCAGTAGACCTGCAGAGGGGGGGGGGGGGGGGGGGGGGAGGAATTGGGGATGGGAGGGCTTTAAAGGTGGGTAAGACATGCGGCCCTTGGTCACGCCACCAGTGCGCCTGCTGAGGGTAAAGAAAGAAGGGAAGATGAGGGGGAGGGAGGGAGGGAGGGAGGGGGGGAGGGGGGGGGAGAAGGCAAGAGGGTTAGGGTTATCGTGGTGGCAGTGCGTCTGGTTGTACTTGTTCCACTCGTACCCCGTGTGCACGCGGTTGAAGTACTTGGGCTTACACAGCATGGGGGGGGAAATATGGAAGGGGGAAAGGGAAGGGAAGGAAGGAGAGGAGGCAGGAGGGCTCTCGTGGTGGTAGTCTCGAGGGGCACCTCCGCCATCCGCCACTGGGTCTCCCTCACCTGAACATTGTGCTCGACCACAAGCTTGATTTATCAACCGAGCCTCTGCCTGAATCCTCACCTGACTTCTCACCTGAGTCTCCAGGGGCACCTCAGCCATCAGCCCCTGTCTCTCCCTCTCCTGAAATGAACAGTGTGTTCAACCACAAGCTTGATTCCTCAGCCACTACCTGAATACTCACCTGAGCCTCTACCTGAATCCTCACCTGAGCCCCTATGTGAATTCTCACCTCGGCATCCACCCACCTGAATCCTCACCTGAGTCTCCAGGGGCACCTCAGCCCCGGCACCAAACGCCACGTCACCAGCATCCTGCCCCATCATCTTATTGGCCGCCGCCTTCTCCGCAGCGCTGAGCTGGCGGTCCTCCCCTGCTGCCACGTTACCAGGCGCCCTCGCCACCAGGGCCCTCTCTGCTGTGCTGACGTTAGCAGCACCAGCACCGGAAGCTTCCAGGACGTTGCGTTGCCGGTCTGCCTGTATCTGTGCCCTCTTGCGCTCCTGGTGGAGGGGAGGGGGAGGGGGGGGGGAGGGGGGGGGAGAGAACGGATAAGAGTAAAGGAAGCAAATCCGTGCCATCCACCTCATACGTGTGAATCAGCCCAGTTACCCGCAGAGCTCTTTAAAACCCCCTTTTACTTGCACATCACTCACCAGCTCTCTCTGATCCGCCTCTGGGTCAACCATGTCCGTGCCATCCACCTCATACGTGTGAATCAGCCCCCTGACTCTAGCATGCTTCAAGGCTAGCAGCAGCCCACTCACCAGCTCTCTCTTGTCCGCCTCTGGGTCCACCACGTCCGTGCCATCCACCTCATACGTGTGAATCAGCTCTGGCGAAAACCCTCCCTCAGCCCCTCCGCCCTCCCCACCCTCCTTGTACCCCTCCTTAGCCGCCTCTTCCATCGTCAACAACTCTGGTGAAAACGACCCTGGCTCCCCCTCCTCCCCTCCTCCTCCTCCTCCTCCTCCTCCTCCCCCTCCTCCTCCCCCTCCCCTCCACTACCACCACCAGCAGCAGCAGCACCAGCACCCAACTCCTCCTCCTCTTCCTCCCATCCCCGCCCCTCCCCTCCTCCCTCCCCCTCTCCCATCCCCCTCTCCTCTCCTCCCCCTTCCCTTCCCTCCGCCCCTCCCGTTTCCAGCAGGGCCAAGTGCTGCCTCAGCAGGTCAGCATGGATCTCTCTAAGTCTCGCCTTCGCCTTGAAAATCTTCAGCTTTTTCAGCACAGCCTCCCAGTACTCGACAACTTTCGCGCTGCCCGTTTCCATCTGCCCGGCGATCCGCTCCTCCATGCGCGAAAGCTCCTCGCTGCCCGCCACGGCCAGGGTTTCGGCCACGTCGGCCCCCACTGCCGTGTGCATGCCCCTCTCCTCCGCAATGAGATCCTCTGGCGGCTCCTCCCCTCTCACTCTCGCGCGGTCTATGATGTCTCTGCGGGTCGTTTCGGCTATCTCGTGGTTGCACACCACCATCATTGCCTGGGGAGAAGGGGGAGCGAGAGTGGGGACAGGACAGGACAGGGGGGAAGGGGGGTGGAGGGGGGATGGTAGACATAAAGGGTGGGCTTAGTAGGAAGATTAGGGGGATGCAGGTACAGAAAATGGGTCACGTCTGCCCCTACTGCCGCGTGCATGCCCCTCTCCTCCGCTATGAGATCCTCTGGCGGCTCCTCCCCTCTCACTCTCGCTCGGTCTGTGATGTCTCTATGGGTCGTTTCGGCAATCTCGTGGTTGCACACCACCATCATTGCCTGGGGAGACAATGGGGGGGAAGGGGGGAAGGGGGAGGGGGGGGGGGGGTTAGTGGACATGGGAAGTTGGATTAGAAGGAAGACGAGGGAAATGCGGGCATCTGGAATGGGCGACGTTTGCCCCTACTGCCGTGTGCAAGCCCCTCTTTTCTCAGAGAGTTTTTTCAGAGCAAAAATTTCTCTCTACCAAACGATAAGTGTTTGACAAGCCCGCTGCCACATATGGCTAAAACTACCACCAAGTGGTGTTCTCTCGGTTTGCCCCTACTGCCGTGTGCATGCCCCTACTGCCGTGTGCATGCCCCTACTGCCGTGTGCATGCCCCTACTGCCGTGTGCATGCCCCTACTGCCGTGTGCATGCCCCTACTGCCGTGTGCATGCCCCTACTGCCGTGTGCATGCCCCTACTGCCGTGTGCATGCCCCTACTGCCGTGTGCATGCCCCTACTGCCGTGTGCATGCCCCTACTGCCGTGCATGTGGCATGCCCCTACTGCCGTGTGCATGCCCCTACTGCCGTGTGCATGCCCCTACTGCCGTGTGCATGCCCCTACTGCCGTGTGCATGCCCCTACTGCCGTGTGCATGCCCCTACTGCCGTGTGCATGCCCCTACTGCCGTGTGCATGCCCCTACTGCCGTGTGCATGCCCCTACTGCCGTGTGCATGCCCCTACTGCCGTGTGCATGCCCCTACTGCCGTGTGCATGCCCCTACTGCCGTGTGCATGCCCCTACTGCCGTGTGCATGCCCCTACTGCCGTGTGCATGCCCCTACTGCCGTGTGCATGCCCCTACTGCCGTGTGCATGCCCCTACTGCCGTGTGCATGCCCCTACTGCCGTGTGCATGCCCCTACTGCCGTGTGCATGCCCCTACTGCCGTGTGCATGCCCCTACTGCCGTGTGCATGCCCCCCTGCATGCCCCCCGTGTGCATGCCCCCCCCCCTACTGCCGTGTGCATGCCCCTACTGCCGTGTGCATGCCCCCCTACTGCCGTGTGCATGCCCCTACTGCCGTGTGCATGCCCCTACTGCCGTGTGCATGCCCCTACTGCCGTGTGCATGCCCCTACTGCCGTGTGCATGCCCCTACTGCCGTGTGCATGCCCCTACTGCCGTGTGCATGCCCCTACTGCCGTGTGCATGCCCCCTACTGCCGTGTGCATGCCCCTACTGCCGTGTGCATGCCCCTACTGCCGTGTGCATGCCCCTACTGCCGTGTGCATGCCCCTACTGCCGTGTGCATGCCCCTACTGCGTGTGCATGCCCCTACTGCCGTGTGCATGCCCCTACTGCCGTGTGCATGCCCCTACTGCCGTGTGCATGCCCCTACTGCCGTGTGCATGCCCCTACTTTGCCACGGTGTGCATGCCCCTACTGCCGTGTGCATGCCCCTACTGCCGTGTGCATGCCCCTACTGCCGTGTGCATGCCCCTACTGCCGTGTGCATGCCCCTACTGCCGTGTGCATGCCCCTACTGCCGTGTGCATGCCCCTACTGCCGTGTGCATGCCCCTACTGCCGTGTGCATGCCCCTACTGCCGTGTGCATGCCCCTACTGCCGTGTGCATGCCCCTACTGCCGTGTGCATGCCCCTACTGCCGTGTGCATGCCCCCTACTGCCGTGTGCATGCCCCTACTGCCGTGTGCATGCCCCTACTGCCGTGTGCATGCCCCTACTGCCGTGTGCATGCCCCTACTGCCGTGTGCATGCCCCTACTGCCGTGTGCATGCCCCTACTGCCGTGTGCATGCCCCTACTGCCGTGTGCATGCCCCTACTGCCGTGTGCATGCCCCTACTGCCGTGTGCATGCCCCTACTGCCGTGTGCATGCCCCTACTGCCGTGTGCATGCCCCTACTGCCGTGTGCATGCCCCTACTGCCGTGTGCATGCCCCTACTGCCGTGTGCATGCCCCTACTGCCGTGTGCATGCCCCTACTGCCGTGTGCATGCCCCTACTGCCGTGTGCATGCCCCTACTGCCGTTGCATGCCCCTACTGCCGTGTGCATGCCCCTACTGCCGTGTGCATGCCCCTACTGCCGTGTGCATGCCCCTACTGCCGTGTGCATGCCCCTACTGCCGTGTGCATGCCCCTACTGCCGTGTGCATGCCCCCCCCCCCCCCCCCCCCCTACTGCCGTGTGCATGCCCCTACTGCCGTGGCATGCCCCTACTGCCGTGTGCATGCCCCTACTGCCGTGTGCATGCCCCTACTGCCGTGTGCATGCCCCTACTGCCGTGTGCATGCCCCTACTGCCGTGTGCATGCCCCTACTGCCGTGTGCATGCCCCTACTGCCGTGTGCATGCCCCTACTGCCGTGTGCATGCCCCTACTGCCGTGTGCTGCCCACTCCGGCCCCCTACTGCCGTGTGCATGCCCCTACTGCCGTGTGCATGCCCCTACTGCCGTGTGCATGCCCCTACTGCCGTGTGCATGCCCCTACTGCCGTGTGCATGCCCCCCCTACTGCCGTGTGCATGCCCCTACTGCCGTGTGCATGCCCCTACTGCCGTGTGCATGCCCCTACTGCCGTGTGCATGCCCCTACTGCCGTGTGCATGCCCCTACTGCCGTGTGCATGCCCCTACTGCCGTGTGCATGCCCCTACTGCCGTGTGCATGCCCCTACTGCCGTGGTGTGTGCATGCCCCTACTGCCGTGTGCATGCCCCTACTGCCGTGTGCATGCCCCTACTGCCGTGTGCATGCCCCTACTGCCGTGTGCATGCCCCTACTGCCGTGTGCATGCCCCTACTGCCGTGTGCATGCCCCTACTGCCGTGTGCATGCCCCTACTGCCGTGTGCATGCCCCTACTGCCGTGTGCATGCCCCTACTGCCGTGTGCATGCCCCTACTGCCGTGTGCATGCCCCTACTGCCGTGTGCATGCCCCTACTGCCGTGTGCATGCCCCTACTGCCGTGTGCATGCCCCTACTGCCGTGTGCATGCCCCTACTGCCGTGTGCATGCCCCTACTGCCGTGTGCATGCCCCTACTGCCGTGTGCATGCCCCTACTGCCGTGTGCATGCCCCTACTGCCGTGTGCATGCCCCTACTGCCGTGTGCATGCCCCTACTGCCGTGTGCATGCCCCTACTGCCGTGTGCATGCCCTACTGCCGTGTGCATGCCCCTACTGCCGTGTGCATGCCCCTACTGCCGTGTGCATGCCCCTACTGCCGTGTGCATGCCCCTACTGCCGTGTGCATGCCCCTACTGCCGTGTGCATGCCCCTACTGCCGTGTGCATGCCCCTACTGCCGTGTGCATGCCCCTACTGCCGTGTGCATGCCCCTACTGCCGTGTGCATGCCCCTACTGCCGTGTGCATGCCCCTACTGCCGTGTGCATGCCCCTACTGCCGTGTGCATGCCCCTACTGCCGTGTGCATGCCCCTACTGCCGTGTGCATGCCCCTACTGCCGTGTGCATGCCCCTACCCGTGTGCCCCTACTGCCGTGTGCATGCCCCTACTGCCGTGTGCATGCCCCTACTGCCGTGTGCATGCCCCTACTGCCGTGTGCATGCCCCTACTGCCGTGTGCATGCCCCTACTGCCGTGTGCATGCCCCTACTGCCGTGTGCATGCCCCTACTGCCGTGTGCATGCCCCTACTGCCGTGTGCATGCCCCTCTTTCCTCAGCTGTGAAACCCTCTGGCGGCTCCTCCCCTCTCACTCTCGCTGTCTATGGCGTCTCTGTGGGTGGTCTCAGCAATCTCGTGGTTGCACACCACCATCATTGCCTGGGGGAGACGGAGGTTGAGCAGGGTGCGCATGGGAGCTTGAATGAGAAGGAAACGCAAGGTAATGCGGGTGTCTGGAATGGGCAACGGGTGTGCAAGCAATTGCCGTGTGTGTGAGCGCCCCCCTCTTTTGCTGTCTGGGCTCCTCACTCTTGCTTGGGCTACAATGTCCCTGCAGGAGCGGGAGGGGGCGAGGGGGTGAATGGTTGGGAGGGGGAAGGGAAAAACGGTATGAGGAATGGGGAATCCTAAACCCGAAACCCGAAACCCAGATGCACTGCAGAAGGCAGGTGGATGCATGCCTTCTGAGGATGCCACAGCCCAGCTGCACTGCAGAAGGCAGGTGGATGCATGCCTTCTGAGGATGCCACAGCCCAGCTGCACTGCAGAAGGCAGGTGGATGCATGCCTTCTGAGGATGCCACAGCCCAGCTGCACTGCAGAAGGCAGGTGGATGCATGCCTTCTGAGGATGCCACAGCCCAGCTGCACTGCAGAAGGCAGGTGGATGCATGCCTTCTGAGGATCCCACAGCCCAGCTGCACTGCAGAAGGCAGGTGGATGCATGCCTTCTGAGGATGCATTACATGCCATCAGAAGCACCCAATCACTCAAGCCAAGACAGGAACCATCAATTTCATTCCAAAACCTATGTACCTCCCAGAAGCCCGTCGTACCTTCCAGAACCCCCCGCACTACTGTACCTTCCAGCAACCCCCCTACCGTACCTTCCAGAACCCCCCACACTGTACCTTCCAGAACTCCTGGTGCATGGGGTTGTTGCGGTCAAACTCGAGGTGCATCTTGATGTCCTCTTTGAGCTCCTCCATCTCCTTCACCGTGAGGCCCTGGTGTGATGCACACACACACACACACACAGATGCACATGCACACAGATGCACATGCAGACAGATGCACATGCACACAAATGCACACATACACAGACACAAATTCAGAAAGCGTAGAAGCACAGCAAGGTGACTTTTGAGTCGACTCAAAAGTCACCTCAAAAGTCACCTCGTAGAAGCACAACAAGGTGTTAAAACGTTTCACCCCCCCCCCGTCGACCTCAATGCCAGCATACTATGTTGGAGGATTAGAATCCCTTTCACTATATTGAAGGATAAGAACCCCTTTCACTCAGGCTCTTATCGTCTTTATTGACTCATAACGCACCTTGAAGATCTTGTACGGCTCGTTGACCTCGATGTCAAAGTCCCCTGAGAGCGTGAGGTTCCTCGCAAGCACGTCGATGGGCTTCGCCCGGCCCTCCCTCAGGCGGATCTCCGAGCGAACGCGGCTCTGCTCAAAGTGGAACTGCGAGGGGGAGAGAGAAAGGAAGAAGGAGCGCAGGGAGAGAGAGTGAGTGAGTGAGACCCGGCCCTCCCTCAGGCGGATCTCGGAGCGAACGCGGCTCTGCTCAAAGTGGAACTGCGAGGGGGAGAGAGAAAGGAAGAAGGAGCGCAGGGAGAGAGAGTGAGTGAGTGAGACCCGGCCCTCCCTCAGGCGGATCTCGGAGCGAACGCGGCTCTGCTCAAAGTGGAACTGCGAGGGGGAGAGAAGTGGGGGGGAAGGGGAGGGAGGGAGGAAGAGAGGGAGGAAGAGAGGGAGGAAGAGAGGGAGGAAGAGAGGGAGGAAGAGTGAGTGGCGGAGCATGGGAAAGAAGTAAGACGCTCGTTCCTCTGGATCTTTGAGAGGAAACAACGGGGACTTTGACCCGTTGTTTCCTGGTGCAAGGACTCTCCTTGCGAAACGGAACTCAGCATGTGGGGGTTGCGGGGAAGAGGTGAGGAGGGGTGAGAGAGGAAGGGGACTTAAGGAAGGGAGTGAGGGAGTGAGGGAGTGAGGGAGGGAGGGATGGAGGGTGGGAGGGAGGGAGGGAGGGAGGGAGGGAGGGAGGGAGGGTGGGAGGGAGGGAGGGAGGGATGGAGGGATGGAGGGATGGAGGGAGGGAGTGAGGGAGGGAGGGAGGGAGGGAGGGAGGGTGGGAGGGAGGGAGGGAGTGAGGGAGGGAGGGAGGGAGGGTGAGAGGTAGGAGGGAGAGAGGGTGGGAGTGGGGGAGGGAGGGAGGGAGGGAGGGAGGGAGGGAGGAGGGAGGGAGGGAGGGAGGGAGGGAGGGAGGGAGGGAGGGAGGGAGGGTGGGAGTGAGGGAGGGAGGGAGGGAGGGAGGTTCGGATTCAAAGCAAAGCAACTCAATTGAGCAAAGCAATGGGCGGCGCCCGTCCCTCAGCCAGCCAGACCTCAATTGGCCTAAACTCTGCGTCTTGTAACTCCTGTTGCTGCTGACCAATCCAAAGAAAAGTGTATGTGTGAGAGCATTGTGTGTGTGTGTGTCTGTGTGTGTGTGTGCAACCGAAAGAAAGGCAGAGAAAGGGGGGGAGGACGAGCGAGGGAAGCAGTTACCTCATCTTCCTTCTCCTCCCAGTCTTGGAACTCGGCTCGAGCCCTCTCACGCGCCAACATAGCCTGCAGAAAGGCACACACGCACACACACAGACAAGAGGGAAGCACGAGGTAAGCACACAAAACGAGGAATGAAAATCCTTTCACCAGAGGACAACGGCCCAAGCAACCCCCATGAGAAAAATGTCGAACCCACAGCTTGTGTCAGCCTAATCAACTCTCGCCTCCACACTCCATCCCTCCCCACCAAACAACCCACCGTCTCCTCGTCGTGCTGGGCCTTCTCCAGCATCCTCTCCTCCTCCAACCCCCCATCTCATGGGACCATGTTTCACAACCCACCAGCACATAAATTTGCCATGCACGCACAACTCCCCATCTCTCCCCACCACTCACCATCTCCTCGTCATGTTGAGCCTTCTCTAGCATCCTCTCCTCCCGTCGCTTCTTCACCTTCTCAATCTCCTCCTGCTCGCACGTTGAACAAGAGCGCGTGGGACGGAACACGGGAGGACAGTTGTATTTTGAGTCGACTCAAAATACAACAGAGCGCGTGGGACGGAACACAGGAGGACAGGCGGTTCAATGGAAGGATTGACAGGAAGACAGGTGGTTGCAACTTAAGCAAGAGCAGAGGACGGATGCATCAATCACTATATCCCAACCACCAACCCACCATGCGGGCCTCGAGCCTGTTCCTCTCGTTCTGCAGGGTGATCTCCCGCGGGTCCAGGGTTCTCCTCAGAACGCCCCAACCAACGCCCCAACCAACGCCCCAACCAATGCCCCATACAACCCCCCAGCAACACACCATGCGGGCCTCGAGTCTCTTCCTCTCATTCTGCAGCGTGATCTCCCGCGGGTCCAAGGTGCCCCTCAGCACGTCCTTCTCGATCTTCTTGCGCCACACGAAGCTGCGCGCACCAAGTGATGGGCGGGGAGGGAGTACAGGTGTGTGCGCGGGAGGGAGGACAAGTCAGGGTAACAGTGGTGAGCGACATCTTATCTAAAAAAAAGGTGCCCCTCAGCGCGTGAGGGACCTCTTATCTTCTTGCACCACACGATGGTGAGAGCAGGGGAAAGGGAAAGGTAGAGAACGGGAGGTTGGAAATGACTAGGGGGGGAAGGGTAAGTTGAGACTTGCGAAGGTGCCTCGCAGCACATCCTTCTTGATCTTCTTGCACCACACGACGGTGAGAGCAGGGAGAGGGACGGGTGGGAGGGAAAGGGACGGGTGGGAGGCAGGCCGGGAAACATGGGGGGGGAAAGCGAGCAGTGAGTTGTCTCAGAAAGGAGCCTCGCAGCACGAGTAATTCTCGATCTTCCTGCGCCACACGAAGCTGCGCGCACCAACCAAGGGATGGGCGGGGGGAGGAAAACACACGTGAGTAAACGACTTCTGAGACGCTTTAGCAGGGTGCCCCGCAGCACGAGTCCTTGTTGATCTTCTTGCGCCACACGAAGCTGTGCGCACGGAGAGGGACACATGCGAAGAGAGGGATGGGGGGAACGGAGGGAGGGAAACGTGAGGTAGAGCGCGAGAGGAGTCTATTTTTGAGGCGCCTCAAAACATGCGAAGAGAGGGATGGGGGGAATGAGGTAGAGCGCGCGTGGTGAGACGTCTCATGAGGCTGATTGCACGACGCTCAGAAAGGTGCCTCGCAGCACGTCCTTCTCGAAAACTGGTTGCAGGGAGGGAGAGGGACGGGTGGAGGGACGAAATCACGTGCGAGTAAACGACTCCTGAAAAGTGAGTGTTCCCCCGTGGGGGTTTCCCCCAAGCACGTCCCGCTCTATCCTCATTCGCCACACACACCAGCACAACTCACGTTTCAGTGAGGTTGGTGTCCCCGAACGGGTTACTGTCATTCGTGTAACCAGACACGGCGTTCGGCTTGAGCTTCTTCGCCAATTTCGCCGCCTTCTTCTGCGCGCGTTTCGCCAGGTACTCCCGGAGCTCCTCCTCAGACACCTTCTTCCCTCTCCCGCCCGACGGACCCCCGTCACTATCACTCCCGCTATCGCTCCCACTCCCACTCCCGCTACTATCCTCTGATCGCTCCGAATCCGACGGTTCCCGTCGCCGCCGGGAATCCCGCTTGCTCTTCTTGTTTCTTTTCGCCTTCCTGTCTTTCTTATCCTTTTTGCTCCGTCCCCTGCTCCTGCTCCTGCTTCTGCTTCGGCTCCTGCTCCGACTGTCATCGTCACTCTCGCTAGAGTCACCCTCGCGGAGCTTTTTCCGGCTCCCGCGGCTCCGCCGTTTGCGGTTCCGGCCGCGATCGCCGTCGGAATCCGACGTGGAGGCAGCATCGTCCTCGTCAGAATCGTCGTCGCTGTCCTTCCGCGATTTCCGGCTCTTCCTGCTCCGTCTCCTGCGCTCGTCCGAATCCTCGCTGTCCGAATCGTCCCGCTTGCGCCGCTTCTTCTCGTCGCGACGAGCCATGGCAAAACGGGCGGGTTTAGTCAGGAGTCTTTTGGGAGGAAGGGGGTGAAAACAAGGCAGACGGAACTATTGCGGAGGCACCGAAAGCGTCTCACAGAAGCAACTTCCGGTGAAAAATGGTGAAAAACAAGATCGAGCTAATGGTGCGGTGGTCTGATTGTAAGCTGCAGTGAGAAATCTAGGAATATGGTACGGGTGAGCTATGTAACATAAAAGCTTGTATGTATCCCATATTAGGACTTTTGGCGCACTGTAGTTGGCTGACTCGTACAAAGAATGCCGTTTCAATGTACAGAGCCTGACTTTGAAGTTTGCTTCACTGTAAAGAGGAGACAGCTGCGCAAACCTAGTTGAGCAAGGGCCATTTTATATTTTATAAATAAATTACACGTAGCTTGAACGACGTGACATGCTGTGCCAGTGGTCTAGTGGTAGAATAGCACCCTGCCAGGTCAGCACGGTGCAGACCCGGGTTCGATTCCCGGCTGGCACATATCCCCTTTTGCCAACTTGGATTTTCCCATGTGAGCCTTGAAGTTGAGGAATTCTCTATGGATCTGCACAGAATATTTCGTGCTCGCTTTCGCAAAGATGACTTGAAGGTTTCGCTACTCTCGCCACAGATTTTCGCTGCGGTGACTCCAGTTTCGTTACAAGAATTCACGAATCCGGTTTCGTTACCTGAACTCATGCACGAATTTGTTTTTCGGGAATGCCTTGAATATGCAAGCAAGATTCATGATCCACCCCCCCAATAAATTTGCCTAGCACTACTGCCACCGCCATGGCCGCTTCAGTTCGCCTGCACGATCAGGTGATCGCGTCGCTCAAATCCACCATCTTAAGAAATCCTCCAGCAGTCTCTGATTCGCCAAGCGAGTCGTCCTTTCCCGTTATTCTCGGCTGGTTAGTAGGCCCTTCGGCCTCGTTCTTCTCATCTCGCGACCCACGCCCTACCTGCTCCGTTCTGTCCTGCATCCTCGTAGACCCGCGATTCAGGGACGTCGCACTCCAGCAGCGTGGCGACAGCGACGGCGGTAACGGTAGCTCGCGAACCTCGCCGAGTGATGTCGCAGCCAGATGCGACGTCGCACAGCGTGATGTCTCCGCGTGCGACGTCGCCAAGTCGGAGGCGCGAGCTCTTTTGCCGCTGCTTCCTGGGGGGCTTACAGTCGTCGGGGTTGCGGTGCGAGGGGAGTTTACCCCCGAAAATCAGGCTCTCCTGAGGGCACCGATCGCCGAATTCCGGCGAATCTTTCATGATGTGGCATTGGCGCGCCGCCCTTTCATGGTGACGTGGACGAGTGTCGCATTCGCCTCGAGTGAAATCCCCCTGAAATTAACCCTTTTGGCGGGAATCGAGCTGAGAAGGGATGACGTGGCAGCTGCAGATTGGTGGGGACAGGATCTCGCAGAGAAGGCGAGGGATGATGAGGACAGGGAACGGATAGGATCGGAGAGTGAGGGAGATGAGGGGGACGGCAGAGAAGAGGGAGATGGGGGGAACGGCAGAGAAGAGGGAAGGGGAGCGGATAGGCGAAGAGAAGAGACTGAGGCTGACGTGGCATGGGAGATTGCGAAGGAGGAGGAAGGGACGGCTGTGGAGGTAGAGGTAGTGGCGACTCGAGGGGGTAAGGGAGATGTAAGTAGTGCATCGTCTGTTTCATCTGCCCCTGCTGCCGCTGCTTCCAGTTCTGGTGCTACTGGTGGGGAGGAGAATCCGCTGGAGGAGGAGTTTTGGGCGGCACACTGCCCGCTGGTGTGTGACGTGGCAGCCACCCTGCCACTGTTCATCCACGACAAACAGAGTGAGCTTCGCTCCGCCCCCTCATCCCCCCACTCCTCTATTTCACAGATTCCCACGAAACACATCACTGCTCTTCCCATAGATTTCCTAACCCGCCATCTTATCTTACCAGCCATTCCCCCTCATCCCATCATCTTGCTCGTCCCATCGATTCCCTCACCCCCAATCATTCGATCCCCTAGTTTTGAGGCGCCTCAAAACCTCACCCCCAATCATTCGATCCCCTACCTGTTCCACTCTCCTCCGTCCCTCCTCTCACCTCGCCATCCCCTCTGCGCATCCCTCTCAGCTATTCGACCTTACCTTACTAGCCATTTCATAAAACTGGCCCCCCCTTCCCTCCCTCCCCCCCTCTCCCCCCCTCGCCGCTTCTGGCTCCCCCTTGCCCCTGTCCAACCTCCCCCCCCTGTTCCCCCCCTTCCCCCCTTCCCCCCCCCAAAACCTTCCCCTTTTTCCCCCTCCCCTCCACCCCCCCCAACCACCCCTCCATACCTTATTCGCCAGCCCTGTCGTCATCACTATCCGCGTCCCTCTCAGCCATTCAAGCTGACGTCACCAGCCCTCTCGCCCTCTGGTTGCTGCACCCACCGCAGCCACCCTCTGCTGCCACGTCAGCATCTGCCAGCTCGACATCAGCTGCCAGCGCCACTGCTGCAGGAGCCGTGCGTCCGTTCCTGATTGGCTCTCTGCCGAACGGGAGAGCTCCAGGAGCCAATGGCAGCGTGACACGTGGCAGGGATGGTGGGGGGAGTGCAGAGGGGATGGTGTGTGGTGATCTGCTGACGTCAGTTGAAGGGGCTGGGGGAAAGGGGGGAGGAGAAGGGGGAGGAAAAGGAGGAGGTGCTAGAGGGAAAGGGGGGAAGGGGGTTAGTGGGGGAGGAGGGGGAGGGAGAGCAGAAAGCCAAGCTTCGAAAAGAGTATGTGGCTGGTGATGAATAGATGCATGCTACTAGCTTGATTCCCTTAATGATTCCCTTAAAGCCCTTTCCTCATCTCCAGCGCCCGCACTGCCCTCCTGCCCTCGACTCCACTCTTTCTTCCCCTTTCTCGTCCCGCCTCCCCTTCACCCTCTCTTGGCTCACAGCTGGCATCGACGACACGTGTATCTCTGCTGCTCAACCAATCGCCAGCTGCCACGTCTGCAGCATTCGAGGGGCAGAAGAGTGCAGCTGTTGGTCTCAGCTACACGCCAGGTAAGGAGCAGTGGGTGGGGTGTCCAGCCATACAAGTAGCACTCGTTACGGTTATTGAGTCGACTCAGAAGTGCAATTACCACCACCAACACTCCTTCAACGCACCTTCCACGTACCTTCAACGCGCCTTTAATTCAACTGAACATGGAATTGCAATTGCAAGTTTGTGCTTTAAAGTGCACTCTATACCACTCGCTAGTGGGCGACTTTGCTCGTCTCATTCACTCCCCCTCACTCACTCGCTCACTCACTGCCTCTAACCCAGTCCCCCCCAACCAACCCCCTTCCCCTGGCCCCCCTCTCTCGATTCCCCCCCGTTCTTCCCCCAGCCGCCCCCAGCATCCACCTCCACCAGATAAGCCTGTCCTTGAGCTGCCTCGTCTTCGCCCCTCGCCAGCTGTCGCTGCGGGCGGCGCTGCGCCGTCTCGTAGTGCCGGGGCTGCTGCGGCAAGTCAAGGCGGTAGAATGGATGGTTGGGGGCGGGGGAGGGGGGGGACAGGACGGCGAGGGGGGGAGGGGAGGAGCGGGGGGAGGACAGGAAGGGAAGCGGAATGAAGGGGAGGGGGGGAGAGGGAAGGGAGGAAGAGCAATAACACCCACGGATGGAGCAAGGGCAACAGGCGATGCAGCAAAGGAAGCAGCTTCAGCCGTTTCCTTCCAGCTGGGACTCAAGGTCGTCCCTCTCCTCTCTCTCACTCCTTCTCTCTCCCTGCCACCCCTCCATAATCCAATCCCGCATTGCCCTCCGTCCATTTTGTATATGTCACGCAACTGTAAGCCTTTCACACTTCCTCCACGCATAACCTAATCCTATAGGTGCTGGGAACAGGGCATTGGAGCATCCTCTTCTGGCACTCCCTCCCCTGCCCTCCCTTCCTCCTGTACCCCTCTCCTCACTCTCCCTCCCCTTTGATCCACGCCATGCAGTTCGGTGCATGCCACTTCCTGCTTCCCTCCCGGCTGCACCCGGTCACTGTGCACTACCCGTTTCCCTGCGCTCCTCCTGCGCCTCTGCCTCCCCCTCTACCCCCTTTCCCTTCCCTTCCCTCCCTTCTGCATGATGCAGTTCCGTGCATACCACTTCCTGCTTCCGTCTTGGCCGCACCCACTCACTGTGCTCTACCCTCTCACGTACGGCGAGGGGCAGCAGAGCCTGGGTGAGTGCTGAACAGAATACGTTGTAGGGTTGGTTTTTCCGAGAATTCCAAAAAATAGGCAGCAGGGCCTGGGTGAGTGCTGAACGGAATATGTTGTATCTTGGGGTCTGTTCACTACTTGCCCCTGGGCACAAGTATTTCCTCTAAGAGTGACTTTTAGAAATACCTGCTTGCACCAGCATATCTCTTTGGCATCCCTCACTTCCCCCCTTCTTCTCCTCTTCCCTCCGCCACCTCCTCCTCACAACCCTCCCCAACCCCCCAGTCAACATGCGCCCCCCCTGCACCACCTCCTGGGCCTGCCTCTGGACCGACCCATGCTGCGCATCGTGTCCTGTCTCCTGCCCCTCCCTATCGTTCACCCCCCTCCGCACCTTTATCCTTCTCCCAACAACCCTCCCCAACCCTGCACCAGCGCCTGGGCCTGCCTCTGGACAGACCCCTGCTGCGCATCGTATCCGCCCTCCCCTGCCCCTCCCTACTGTTTATCCCCTTCCTTCCCCTATCAACCCTCCGCGACCTCTCAGTGGACATGCGCTCAACCCTGCACCACCGCCTGGGGCTGCCTCTGGACCGACCCATGCTGCGCATCGCGTCCTCTCTCCCGCCCCTCCCTATCGTTTACCCCCCTCCGCTCCTTTATCCTTCCCCCATCAACCCTCCCCACCCTCCCCAGTGGACATGCGCTCAACCCTGCACCAGCGCCTGGGGTTGCCTCTGGACCGACCCATGCTGCGCATCGCATCCGCCCTCTCGCTCTCTGCGACGGCTGCTGCTGCGGATGACACTCAAGCACCATCAAAAGGTGAGTCAGTGCGCTGTATCTCTTCTCCGTTCACATACACTCCCACTCACTCCCACTCCCACTCCCACTCCCACTCTCACTCACTCCCACTCCCACTCCCACTCACTCCCACTCGCACTCCCACTCCCACTCACTCCCACTCCCACTCCCACTCCCACTCACTCCCACACTCTCACTCCCACTCAGTTGTTCGCACCCGTCTCTCCCTTGTTCTCCCTTTCCCTACGTGTGTGCTTCCCCGCATTTTTCCTGCGTCATGTTACCACCTGCTCTCTTCCCACGTGAACTGAGAGTGCTTTTGAGGCGCCTCAAAAGCATTGTTCCTTCGGGATGTTACCACCTGCTCTCTTACTCCCCCTTACTCCCCCTTACTCCCCCTTACTCCCCCTTACTCCCCCTTACTCCCCCTTACTCCCCCTTACTCCCCCTTACTCCCCCTTACTCCCCCTTACTCCCCCTTACTCCCCCTTACTTACTCCCCCTTACTCCCCCTTACTCCCCCTTACTCCCCCTTACCCCCCTTACTCCCCCTTACTCCCCCTTACTCCCCCTTACTCCCCCTTACTCCCCTTCGTCAAGTGCATGTCTTTGCCCATGGGACATAGATGTCCGAGTGAACACCACTTGGGTGCCGTAGGTCTTTTGAGCCAACTCAAAAGTCTTCCTCCCCTTCTTCAAGTGCAGGTCCTCGCCCATGGGACATAGATGTGAACCTTCTGTACAGAAGATGGGTCCATCTACTCCTTCCCCTCCCCCCCTCCACGTTTTCCTTACTTTAATGTGCAGCTCTGCACCTCCTTATTTCCGCCTTCTGCCTTCCCTTGTTCCCCCTGTTGGAGATAGGCTGCAATGTTGCACATTTGTGTGTTAGTCATTTGTTTGTTTAGGGTTAGGAATGTTTGTTAGGTTGGGTGTAGCTTTTTTATCCCCAACCTATCCCAACGCAATCCATCCCAAATCCCCACGATTTGGGAGGATTCCCTTGGGATTCCCTTGGGATTCCCTTGGGATTCCCTTGGGATTCCCTTGGGATTCCCTTGGGATTCCCCTTGGGATTCCCTTGGGATTCCCTTGGGATTCCCTTGGGATTCCCTCCGATTTCCCTTATCCCTTCCAACCCTCGCCTATGGTTAGTACTTAAGCTTGTATGCCCTCTCTCATTTTAATCAATCAAAGTCCCGTTTTCTTACACCCCCCACCCCACCCCTCCGCCAATGCCCAGCAGCTCTTCGCCTCTGGGACGTACACGTGGGCCTTCCTCGCCTACCACACTCCACAGGTAAGTCCACAGAAGCAAAAAGCACGTTATTTCTTTTCTCTGGTCCCAGGCACTGTTCCTTCCCCTCGTCTCCCTCATCCCTCCCTCACATGCACCGCACTCGTCGCTCAGCCTCCTCCTTCCAGCCTTCTCCATCATCGCCCTCCCCGCGTCCCCTCCCACGATTTCAGCCTTTTTTCTTTCTCCCACTCTTCCTTCCACTCTGAATTGAACCCTGGAATTCTAGGTTCAAGGCAGTACCTGCAGGGATCATACGAGTATTACCACTACATGCAAGGCAGTATTGTGAATAGGTCCCCTCCCTTTTCCACATCTTGCTCTTTCCCGTTTCCCCTCTTCCCTTTTGCTCTGTGTCTCCAGGGTCGAGGCATTACCTGGTGCAGGGCTCATACGAGTATTACCACTACATGCAAGACAGGATTGACGACAGTGTAAGTCTCCCCCACCCTCCACACTTCCTTTTTTCCTGCTCTTCTCACCTCCACCTCTCAGGGTTAAGCTGCTCCTCTCATCCTCTCATCCTCTCATCCTCTCATCCTCTCATTCTCTCATCCTCTCATCCTCTCATCCTCTCATCCTCTCATCCTCTCATCGCTTGCACCTTTCGCTTGCGTCAAACCGTCGTCTCTCGGTGCTGCATTCAGCAGTGCACTTTCGTGCGTTTTCCACTTCCCTCCATCCCTCCCTCTCCACCCTCGCCTTTCCCGCCATCAGGGAGGGGGGTGTGCCTATCGATCCCTAGTTTTGAGGCGCCTCAAAACCCGCCATCAGGGAGGGGGTTGCGCTTATCGATCCCTCCAGACCATCGTGTCCTGGCTTCGCATTCAGCAGTACACTTCCCTAAGTCCCCCCCCCCCCATTCCCCCTTTGCTTTCCCGTTTCTCCTTCCCCCCCACCTTTCCCTTCCCCGCCGTCAGGGATGGGGTTGCGCCTATCGCTCCCTTCAGACCATCGTGTCCTGGCTCCGCATTCAGCAGTACACTTCACTCCCCGTACCAAGCCATAGGTACGCGCTGTAAAGTGTTTGCCGTTGTCATGTACACACACACACCATCGGGACACGCCATCTCATTGGTTGGCACACACACAGTGCTTTTCCTAGTCCCACCTATTGCCCAGTCCCCCCTTACCTATCGCTCGTTTCTCCCTCCATATCACTCCTCAAGCTGCAAGAAAACTGTTATTCCATATCAACTGTTCATTGCAGCAGTTAATTCCATATCAACTGTTGATTGCAGCAGTTTATTCCACGTCAACTGTTGCAATAAATGGGTCTGATCGCAGCAGAAGATTCCCCGTTTAATCGATAGACCGAACTACAAAGCAGAGTGAGAAATTTCGAGCAGAAGAAGGACTTACTAGTCAATCACCTAGACAAGCATCGCCTGGGATGTGCGTGTGAATGCGTTCCAGCTCAGCTGGATAGCCTTCTAACTCCATATATTGCAGGGTGTTTGTGAGAATTCTCAAAAACATTCTCCCTCCATATAATTCCTCAAGCTGCAAGTAACCATATCAACTCCACATTCCAATCCGTATCCGCCATCACCTCTACGTTGCTCCGAGCGGTATTGTCCACTTGTTCCCTCCTATGGCCACTCACGCTTCCTTCCGGAAGCCTAAACGCTGCCATCGTATCTCGCTCATTCTGCTCCCACGCCTTACCAATCCCTCCAGGCGCATTCAGGAGGTGCTAGTGGAGCTGGGCGCCAAGGAGCCTCTTAAGCTGACCTTGGTCCCTCCACGTCCCCCCTTGACCGTCGTCGGCATGTCCGTCTACCATTCCCCCCCACTGCCTCACCCCCGCCAGGCGCATTCAGGAGGCGCTAGTGGAGCTGGGCGCCAAGGAGCCTCTTAAGCTGACCTTGGTCCCTCCACGTCCCCCCTTGACCGTCGTCGGCATGTCCGTCTACCATTCCCCCCCACTGCCTCACCCCCGCCAGGCGCATTCAGGAGGCGCTAGTGGAGCTGGGCGCCAAGGAGCCTCTTAAGCTGACCTTGGTCCCTCCACGTCCCCCCTTGACCGTCGTCGGCATGTCCGTCTACCATTCCCCCCCACTGCCTCACCCCCGCCAGGCGCATTCAGGAGGCGCTAGTGGAGCTGGGCGCCAAGGAGCCGTTCGTGGTCCCTCCCCGTTCCCCCTAGAACGTCATCCTTCTACCATTCCTCTCCGCACTGCCTCTCACCCCTCCCCCCAGGCGCATTCAGGAGGCGCTAGTGGAGCTGGGCGACAAGGAGCCGTCGTTCGTGGGATCCAGCCAGTGGATTGGCGCTATAGAGCTCAGTTTCATTCTGGACCACCTTCTGGGGGTGAGGAGTTTAATTCTTAAGGTGTCATCTACGGTTGGTGTCTTTGAGGGTGCATGGTGCATGGTGCATGGAGCATCGTGCACGTGGTAGTGGATAGGTGCACGTGTATATACCTCACTGTGTCGTCAGGAGCATACATGCCATATAAGGGCCAGAAGCTAGCAAGGGGGATGCCCCCTCTCTCTTATGTCTCATCCTGAAAGGTCGATTTTTCCCTCCCTTGGTGGATTCGTCCCTCACCTCCAGGTGACATGCAAGGTGCTGACTGTGTCATCCGGAGCAGACATGCCATCTAAAGGCAGACAGCTTGCGCACCATTTCACCACCCAGGGCACCCCGGTGATGATAGGAGGTGGTGTTCTCGCATACACCCTACTAGGCGTGGACTACGATGAGGCGACAGGGGAGTGTGCGTTTCTCATTCTCGACCCGCATTACACCGGAGGGGAGGACATCAAAACGATAAGGAGTGGGGGTTGGGTTGCCTGGAGGAAGGCCAAGACGGATGGTGGGGCGGACTTTTTCGTCCGGGATGCTTTTTACAACTTGCTGCTGCCGCAACGGCCGGCTACAGTGTAAGCACTCTGTTAGGCAACCCGAGTATTTCGACGACGTAGTATTGTATGTTAATATTGTATGATCATTCTTTTCCAGCTGTTGGCGTAGAATGCGGACACTAGGGGTCACGTGATTTTGATGCATTGAGTTGTGCTTTAAGTTCAACCAGAGCAATTGTTAAGATGTAAAATGTTCGTAGAGGTGCACTTACAATAGTTATTCATTCCTATATCGTCACAGTCATGTAGCGTGCTTCGTGTTCTCACGCACTCCTCACAGCCTTGTATCGCGCTCTTGGTCATTCCCCATCCAGAGGTGCTGCTGTCCCCCCATTTTGGGTTTGAGTTCTTGCTTCTTATTATTATGAGACCAGTTGACGAGCTAGATTTTTTCAGTCTATCCGGACTGGTTTCCAGTCTCGGCTTGCTTGCGTTGCACTAACCCCCCCAAAGTGTGCACGAACGGCGCTCCATCCTGTATTTTATACTGTATTCTCTAGGCGCTCAAGGTAGAAGACGGGGAGCAACTGCTACAACAGCCATCGCTGTCCGTTTCAATCATGCCGCAGCAGCAAAACCAGCGGCAGCAGCAGCATCCGCTTCTCCGTCCGCCTCCGCCTCCGCTCCCGATCCCCCTCCTGCCGCAACAATCCGCTCCCCCATCGCTTCTGCCACTGGCGCAACCCTCGGCGCAGCAGCAGCCGCAACATCCGCAACAGCCGCTGCAGCAGCCACCGCAATGCGATCAGCCGTCTAAGCCGAAACCAGCACCGGCGGCGGCGGCGGCGGCGGCGGCGGCCGCGGCTGCGCCACTCGCGGAGCAAGTTCGCGCGGGTTTCGCGAAGCTCCACGGCGAAGATTTCGAGTATTTCGTGCAGTCGTATTCGATCGTGCTCGGTCGCAACAGCAAGAAGTCGTCCGTCGATCTCGACCTCTCGGTGCTAGGCGGCGGGATGAACGTCTCGCGAAACCATGCGAAAATCTTCTACGACTTCGCCGCTCGCGAATTTCGCCTGGAAGTGCTCGGGAAGAACGGGGTGTATGTGGACGGGCAGCCGAAACCTTCTGGATCTGACCCGGTCCCGCTTAAATCCCAGCAGCTGCTCCAGGTAGGGGATAAACGGTTCTTTTTCCTCCTTCCCGCCAAGAATCCCCAACCTCCTGCCAAACCTGGACCACTGCATCAGGTTCGGCCACCACCCGGGCTGACTTCAGGTTCGGGAGGAGGGCTCAGCCAATTGGGCTCTGCTTTGGCCGCAGGATCGGTACCCAGACCTCTGGCGCGTGCCTCGGGATCAGGCTCGGGAATGGCTGCAAGTACTAATGGTGCCATGACTGGTGGTGGGGATGCAACCCCCACTAGTGCACTGGCTGCTGTCGCTGCTGCTGCTGGCGCTAGGGTCTTACCTCCCCTTTATCTTCCACATATTAATCAACCACCCCAGAATGCACCTCCTCCGCCTCCCAATCAACCTCCCCCGGTTACCCCCTCTGCTCGTGTCTCAGTGTCAGCTGGTAGTGGGGGCGGAGGGCGAGGAGGGAGAGCAGCAGCAGCAGGAGAGGGGAAGAGGGGCCGAGGCCGTTCTAGGGGGGGCCGTGGTCCCAACAGTAACAATAGCCCTTCTAATAACCCGTCTGGTAACCCTTCTGGTAACCCTTGTAACATCCCTTCTGGTAATTGCAGCAGCAGCGGCGCTGGTGCTGGTGCTGGTATCGGTAACACTACTAGCAGCAGCAACAGCCATGCAGCTTTCAACAGCAGCAGTGTGAGCGTAAAGGGCGCTACTGCAGCTGGCGTGACAGCTGGCATGACAGCTGGCATGTCATCTGGCATGACAGGCACTAACGTGACTAGCTTGGCTGACTCCCAGGGGCCCTCTGCACCATCAACGCTGGGGGGCCTCCTCCCCATGTTTTCACTGCAACAAGCGGGCGCAGGTGCAGGTGCAGGCGCGGGTGTGGGCGTGGGTGCGGGCGCGGGTGCAGGCGCGGGTGCAGGCGCTGGTGCAGGCGCGGGTGCAGGCGCGGGTGCAGGCACGCCTTTCATGTTTCGGCACGGCGCCGCCACACCTCTCGGGCAGGCCACTCCGACACATCCAGTGCAGGCCGTACAGAGTCCAAGACCCGAAGGGTCGAGTTTTGTTTCTGAGAATCCTCAAGGACAAAACCCAATGCAGGGCGTCCAGACTCCAAGTCTCCAAGGCTTGAGATCTGAAGCGCCTTTAACAACCGGAATCCGGGGGAGGGGTAGGGGAGGCAGGAGGGGTTTACAGGGTGGGATGGGAAGGGGGAGGCGAGGAGGGAGGGTGGGACCAACGGGGGTGGTGGAGGGGACGATTGGAGGGTTAGGAGCGGTGGTGAGGGGTGCTGGGAGGTTGGTAGGTACTGGGACGGGCAGTGGGGTTGTGGTTGGTACGGGGATGGGTGGTGGAGTTGGTGGTAGGATGGCGGAGGGAGTGGGAGGGCTGGGAGGGAACGCGGGAGACACAGGCGAAGAAACAAGAGGAGTTGAAGCAGGTGGGAAAGGAGGAAGGGAGGAGAAGAGTAGAAAGAGGAAGGGTGCACTGCTCGACAGGTGATGGTGGCGAGGAGGCCACGAGACAGCCTAGCGCTGCTACCAGAAGCAAACTCACCACAGCTCCCACCATTGTCATCATCTGCAGCAGCAGCAGCAACAATGCCAGCAGCAGCGGAAGCAGCAGCAACAGCAGCAGCAATGCCAGCAGCAGCAGCAGCAGCAATGCCAGCAGCAGCAGCAGCAGCAGCAATGCCAGCAGCAGCAGCAGCAGCAATGCCAGCAGCAGCAGCAGCAGCAGCAGCAATGCCAGCAGCAGCAGCAGCAGCAGCAGCAGCAGCAGCAGCAGCAGCAGCAGCAGCAGCAGCAGCAGCAGCAGCAATGCCAGCAGCAGCAGCAGCAGCAGCAGCAGCAGCAATGCCAGCAGCAGCAGCAGTAGCAATGCCAGCAGCAGCAGTAGCAATGCCAGCAGCAGCAGCAGCAGCAGCAGCAGCAGCAGCAATGCCAGCAGCAGCAGCAGCAGCAGCAGTTGCAATGCCAGCAGCAGCAGCAGCAGCAGCAGAAGCAGCAGCAGCAGCAGCAGCAGCAGCAGTTGCAATGCCAGCAGCAGCAGCAGCAGCAGCAGCAGCAGCAGTTGCAATGCCAGCAGCAGCAGCAGCAGTTGCAATGCCAGCAGTATCACCTTGGAGTAGCTCTCAGTCTGGAGGCGGAGGGGCTGTTCGTTCTGGGCCAAGGGCCCATTTGGCAACAGCAATGGCAGTGCCAGTGAGAGCAGCAGCAGCATCAGCGGCAGGAGAAGCAACAGCAGCACGGAGCAGCAACAGCAGCACAGAGCAGCAACAGCAGCACGGAGCAGCAACAGCAGCACGGAGCAGCAGCAGCAGCATGGAGCAGCAGCAGCAGCACGGAGCAGCAGCAGCAGCACGGAGCAGCAGCAGCAGCATGGAGCAGCAGCAGCAGCACGGAGCAGCAGCAGCAGCATGGAGCAGCAGCAGCAGCACGGAGCAGCAGCAGCAGCACGGAGCAGCAGCAGCAGCACGGAGCAGCAGCAGCAGCACGGAGCAGCAGCAGCAGCACGGAGCAGCAGCAGCAGCAGCAGCACGGAGCAGCAGCAGCAGCACGGAGCAGCAGCAGCAGCAGCACGGAGCAGCAGCAGCAGCACGGAGCAGCAGCACAAGCAGAGGGTCTGATGGAACACCTTCAATAATCCATCTGGATTTGGAGCGAGCTCCAGAGGAAACTGGTGCTTGACCCGCCCTCGGAGGCAGCAGGAGCAGCAGGAGCACCAGCACTCCCACGAGCAGAGGGGCTGACGGGACTAGTGACCGGCCCAAGGGTTCGCTTGGATTTGGAGCGAGCTCCAGAAAAAACTGGGACCGTACTTGATCCGCCCGCGGCAGCTCCTCTGCCATAGAGGAAGTGATTGCAGAGGGGGTAATGAACATTCGGTAAAGCTCCTTTCACCAAGTTTTAGAGGGTTAATAGCAGCTGACCCATGCCTATTTCACAGGTTGTTTCGAAAACACTTCAAATGAACATGCGGAACCTTCAGCGAAGTTGCCCCAGCTTCGAGCTTGGAAAGAATATGCCTTATCGGAGACCCTAAATCACTACTGCAGGTTCAAACAAACCCAACCCACCCTCTCTATTTACATGGCGCGCCCAGTGTGCGCGCATGGTGACTTCTGAGTCGACTCCCAAGTCACCAGAATCACTGCTGCAGGTACAAACCCACTCTCTATTTATCTAGCATCCTCTGGGGGTGCAAGTGTGCAGTGCATGCCATTGGTTGGTGGCATTGCCCGGTAGCGAGGGAAGAAACACACAGTGCTGGAGATCAGTAGCCTACCATATGGCCTTGGCCTCTAGAACAGCCAAGGAGTGGCAGAAAACCAGGAGCCTATTTTGAGGCGCCTAAAAGAAACAAGCAAGCAGCTGACAGGTCCTGCAAGATACACCTGGTTTCCTTCCACTACAGCCACTACAGCCACTACAGCCACTACAGCAACTACCATACAGCCTTAGCCAAGAGAATAGTCCGCTCCAAGCTACAGAAGGGAAGAGAATCTGTAGCTACGCACATGTACTACTAGTACCAGTACGCGTCTGCTAGCTATGCAAACTCACCTACCAGAACCATCTGAGCAAATCCTACAGTTTCCAGACCATATATCGAGCCGGCAGCAGCTCAGCAGCAGGCACAAGCTTTCCAGGAATAGAGGTGGTTTCGATTCGCACAACGACCTGAAAGATGCTCTCCACCGCTTTGAACCCCCCTACCCACCTGCTGCACCTGTCTCCTCCATGCTTGGTGACAGAAGCCCTCGACCAACATGCCCAGCACCACGTGAGTGATGCCGTTGCGTGCATGCCTCCTCCGCAAAACCACTAGTGTTCTCCGTTCCGTTCCGCACCGCACATCCGCTCCGCTGCACCTGCTGCATGCTTGGTGAGGAATGCATGCACATCCTCAGGAATAGTCTCACCAAGCATGCCGTTACCGCACATCCGTTCCTGAGGCACCTCAATAACGAGCCCCGCATCATGAGAGACATTTGCGTGAGGAGTCTATTTTTGAGGCGCCTCAAAAATAGACCCCTCCACTCAACACAGCGCATGGCCCCTTCATGCGTTAACAAGTGTGCTCGCAGCATGAGGAGTCTATTCTTGAGGCGCCTCGAAAACGTGCCCCACATCACGAGAGACATTTGCGTGGGGAGTCTATTCTTGAGGCGCCTCAGAAACGTGCCCCGCATCACGAGAGACATTTGCCTGCATGCATCTGCAAGACAAGTGCCTTCCTCCCCCAACACATCCACTCCGCCACAGTTGCCTGGATGCTCAACGCCAGGTGCCCATTGCCCCCTTGCCCAATCCGCCCAGCAACATGTGAAGCCTCTGCATGCACGCCTCCTCCGCAAGACCAGAGCCTTTCTCCCCCTACACATCCGCTCCGCCGCATCTGTCTGGATGCCTGGCGACAGATGCCCAACATGTGCGGCAGTTGCCTTCATGCCAACACAAAACCAGTTGTCTTCTCCCCCCACACATCGTTGAGAGGCCTTTGCCAGATGCCCCTTTGCCTGCCTGCTCCATGGCAGATGCCCATTGCCCCCTCGCCCAACCAGCCCAGCATCATTACTCATGAGAGGCCTCTGCCTGCAAGCCTCTATGAAACAAGCAACGTGCAAGTGCCTTTCTCAAATGCAACGGGAAAACGAACCTTTCCCCAGTACAAGGGGAGGCTGAGCTTTCTCCCCCAAAGCCTCCCCCCCAGAGCCTCCTCCCCAGAGCCTCCCCCCCCAAGCCCCTTCCCCAGAGCCTTCCCCCCAGATCCACTCCCTTTCACACGATATGGCCGTCGCCACGATGTTACCGCTTCTGTTACAAATATCGGTTTCTGCTTTCGTAACTGACCGCCCCTCGACTGCCCCTCGACCTCCACGAATGGTGAACTCACGGCGTTACAGCTGCGTTACAAATCTCGACTTCTGCTTTCGTAACCTACGGCCCGTTGACTGCGAGTTTGGCAGCAGCAGCTGCTGCAGTGAAGAAGTACTGCCTGCTGCTGCCATTCGCTGCTGCTGCTGCTGCTGCTGCTGAGCTGTGTGGGGTTGGTGTGACAACAAAACACTGTCAGTTGACACGGCCCTCGGATACTGTTGCACCTCCTGCTGCTGCTGCTGCTGCAGAGGGGGAGTGCCAGGTGCCATCCGCTGCTGCTGCTGCTGCTGTCTCGAAACCAGTGCCGAAGTAGGAGACGTCCAAGCATACTTCCTAAAGCTGGCCTGCTTTTCTGGCCGGAAGTCCGGGTCTAACAGCAGCAGCAAATGCCCGGCCCAGTATCGCGTCTCCGACGGGCCCTCCTTGTACACCTTATGAGCTATCTCGAGCCCGTCATTAGCGAGGATGAAGGACGCAGAGACGGGGTGCGAGCTGAGGACGTAGAGGGTCCACGCGCAGGTCTTGGCGGTGGCACGGGGGGGGGAAGGGGCAGCGGCGGAGGAGGAGGACAGGAAGGGCGGGAGGGAGTCCCCTGAAACGCCTGCAACGCGTGAAACGCCTGCTGATGCTGATGTTGATGCACCCTCACCACCACGACCACCGCCACTAGCACCACCACTAGCACCGCTAGCAACAGCTTCAGCATCAGCAGTAGCAGCACCATTTGCAGCAGTGACGGCGTGGAAGAGGAGGTCGAGCAGCAGCGGCACGGCGCCAGCAGCAGCAATGGCGAGCTTGTTGTCGCTGCTGTTGACTGCCAGCGTGCCCAGCGCCAGAGCCGCCCGTTCCTGCTCGCCTGGCCCCCCGTCTCGCAGCATGCCCACCAGAGAGGGAATGGCCCCTGCCTCTGCCACTGCGATCTGTAGGCGGGGGAGAAAAGGGGGGAGAGAGTGTGGAAAAAGAGGGGAGAGGCAGAGATTGTTATTGCTGCTGTTCACTGCCAGTGTACCCAGCGCCAGAGCAACACTCTCCTGCTCGTTTGCTCCCCCGTCCCTGAGCATGCCCATTAGGGAGGGGTCTTCCCCTGCCTCTGCTACTGCGACCTGTCAGTGGGGAATAGGAGGAGTGAGGATGAGAGTTCAAGAACGAGGTAGAGAGGGGGGTGCGGGGTGGGGGGGTGGGCGGGGTGCGGAGTGAGGAGAGGGAATGGGCCCTGCCTCTGCCACTGCGATGTGTGCGTGATGAGAGTGGGGAAAGAGGGGGGGAGCAGAGGGTGGGAGGGAGGGAAGAGCGAATAAGGGTGAGGAAGAGAGTGAGATAGGGAGTGAGGCGAGGGGATGGGCCCCTGCCTCTGCCACTGCGATCTGTGAGTGGTGAGAGTGGGGAAAGAGGGGGGGAGCGGAGGGCGGGAGGGAAGCCCGGATGGGGGGTGGGGGGAGGAGGGATTCAGGGGAGAGTGGGAAAGTGCAGGGAAGGGCGAGAAAGAGAGTGAGTGAGGAAGAGAGGGGAGACGGCCTCCACTTCTGCCTCCGCCATCTGTGAGTGGGGGTGGGGGTGGGGGGAAGCGGGTTGAGAAAGCAGCCCTTGTTCTGCTCGCCTGCACCCCCGGTCCCCTGTCACGTAGCACGCCCACCAGATAGGGCTTAGCTACCTGCAGGGGGGTGGGGTGTGTGGATGGAGGAAGAGGAGGAGGTGGGGGGGAGGGGTAGGTAGGAAGAAACGGAGAACTAGGAACTCTCATCAGCTACCCGCCATTGTAGCGCCTTCATTCCGTTTGAAGGACAATTTTTGAGGTGCCTCTAAAATCGCTTGAAGGACAATTTTTGAGGGGCTCTAAACTCGTTTGAAGGACATCATATGTTATTGGCAGCGACACAACATAACCTCGTGCCTTTTCAAGCTGACCACGTGCCTTTTCACGCTGAGTTTGAGTCGAGTAAAAAGTTATAAGCAGCAGCATAACCACGTGCATTTTCCCTATTCCCCTCAAAACCCCACACCAACACAACACCCCCTCCCCCGTTTCCCCCTCCCCCCTCCCCCACCTCCCCCTAGCCAGCTGCCGCACCGCAGCAGCCCCTTTCCTTCCCTCACCTGTCCCCTGGCAGCCCAAAACGCAATTCAGAAATTGGACTCCTCTCCTGCTATCCCAGGTGATTTTTGAGTCGACTCAGAAAAGCAATTGGACTCCTCCTTCCTATCCCACCACTTCGCTGCTCACCTGGCTCCATCTCAAGCCCCTAGGCCCCTAGGCCTCTAGGCCCCTAAGCCCCTAGCCCCCTTCATTCAAACACACGTTTCTCACCTAGACCTAGTGCATTCTCAAACCCTAGGCCCCCAACCCTCCCGCGCCACCCCCTCCCCTCCCTCCCACCGCCACTTCCACAGCACCCTCGTTCCCTCCCTCACCGGATGCCTGTCTGCCAAGCCAACCTTTCCCTCCCCTGGTTATTTATGAAGCGCCTCAAAATTAGATGCCCCCGCCACCACCCCTCCCCCCACCCCCACCCACCGCCAACTTCCCAAGCGCCCTCTCTCCTTCCCTCACCTGAAGTGCCAACCTTTCCCTTCCCTGTTTCCTTCTCTAACCTCCGAACCCCTTAGAACTCCCTGTTTCTCACCTGGTTCTCCCTCCCAAGGTGTCGGCAGTCAGGTGCACGGTGCGCCATCACGTCTGCAGCCTCCTGCTTGGCAGCAGCGAGCTGTTCCCTCCCGTTTTTCTCACCTGTTATTGGCAGTCAGGTGCACGGTGCACCATCACATATGCAGCCTCCTGCTTGGCATCAACGAGCTGTTCCCTAAGCCCTACCTACCCCCCTACCCCTTAGAAACCCGTTTTTCTCACCTAGTTCGTTTTCTTCTGCCCACTCGGTTCTTCTCATATTGGCAGCCAAGTGCACCATGGCGCCTGCAGCCTCCTGCTTGGCTGCAACGACGACAACGTGACCCCACCTTTGCCAGTATGTTTAGAACCCTGGAACCCCTGTTGCCCACCTGGTTCTTCTCGTTGTTGGCAGTCAGGTGCACGATGGCATCTGCGGCCTCCTGCTTGGCGGCAGGGTCGGTATGGGACTGCAAGATGGCCACCAGCGACAGGATCGCCTCAGACGCCGCGATCAGCACCTTGGAGTTGTCGCCCCCAGCCCCACCCCCTCCCACGGCCAGCTTCAAAAGCACCCGCGCAGCCACGGCGCGCAGGTCCGGCGATCCGGTTCGGAGGGTGGTGACTAGGATCCGCACACACCCGGCTTTCACCACCACGGCCCGGTTTTCATTCAGGGAGACTAACGATAGGAGCAGCTTCAGGGAAGCCACCTTGATTTGTTCACCGATAATCGACGCTGTGACACCCTGGTTACCGCTCCCATTCCTGCTGCTGCTAGCACCACCAGCAGCGTTCGAACTACCACCCGCACCAGCTGCCCCACCCACCCCCCCGGGCCCACCGCTGCTTCCGAAGCTGCTGCTGCCGAAGCTGCCTCCCAGGTCCGGGAGATTGAGCAGCACGGCAATCACAGGAACCGCCCCCGCTGCTGTCACGTGTAACTTCCCCATGTCTGACGACTCAGATAACTCCAAAAGCGCCGCCAGTGCCGCCCGCTTTTCCAGCACGGAGCCCCGTGAGAGCGAGGCGACCAGCTGGCGGGCGGCAGCCGGGCCGGCGGAGAAGGCAGAAGCGCCAGTGGCGGTGGAACTGCGGGGGGAGGAGGCGCCTGAGGGCAGGAGGCGGAGGGGGGGGTGCGGAGGGGTTGGGGGAGCGGAGGTGGTGAGCGGGATGGGCGGGGAGAGAGGGCGGAGCATGCCTGGTGGTGGGGCCGCTGCTAGGGCGGAAGGGGGGGTTCTGGTGCCGCTGTGCGTGCTGCTGCTGCTGGGCTTGTTTCTGGTTGATGTGGCAGCTCGCCTACTGGGAGGCAAGAGGGCTGCAGCCGCAGCAGAGCCAGAGCCAGAGCCAGAGCCAGAAACAGGAGCAGGAGCAGGAGCAGGAGCAGGGGGAGAGGCAGCGCGGGCAGCGCCACTAGAGCTGCTGACACCCCTGCTACCGCTGTGTTTACCTCCGCCTACTCTGGTAGTCCCCACAGTACTGTGGCCACCGCCCATAAATAGCGACTTATCAACCATGGAACTCGAGGGAAACGCTATATCCTCCAAGCTTCGCCGCCTCTGCTGCTCCCGCTCCTCCTGCTGCTGCTGCCTTTCCTGCTGCTGCCGAAACCCATACCCTTCACCTATACCTCTTGTACCTCCTCCTCCTCCTCCTCCGCCTTCTCCTCCCCTCTCTCCTCCGCCTTCCCCCCGTCCGAGTGAGCTCCCCCCCCCAAGACTCTGAGTGCGGCTGTAAACGGTGAAACCCTGGCCCAGCAGAAGCAAGCACTCCGTGTGACATTGGCGGATCTCAGCTAAGCACGCTTTTAACTGAGAGGTGAGAGCGGAGGAGCAGGAAGAGTGGGAGGAGGTGAAAGGGATGGACGTGGTCGAAGCTGAGGACAAGGCTCGGGAAAGCGGAGGTTCGGCACCCAAACTGACTGGGTTAGGTCCGGCAGGAGGTCCGGCATGACTATCCGTTCGGGTTACGGCACAGGAGGAAGAGGACGCGAAAGGGGAGAAGGCGGATAACGACAAATGCCGCCGACCAAAGAAGCGGCGCAGGCTCGCCAGTGGATTTCCGCTGGATCTGCTACACGCCTGGAGGGCGACTACAGTGGTTTCCAGCTCCGTTACAAGCCGTTGGATGATAAATAACGCACGAGGGTCGGCAGCGAGGCTCGGCGCTGCCGGACCTTGCAGTTGGATCAGGATCGGCAGGAGCTGCTTGATTCGTTGCGAGACACGTTCGGCAGCGAGGCGGAGGGCGGTGTTTCGAATGGGGGGAAGCGGGGAGGCGGTCGGGCGGAAAGGGGAGGCGGAGGGGGAAGTGGGGAGGGATGCGGACCGCCCTCGGGCGGAGCTGTGGTTTTTAGAAGAGGTTGAGGTGGAGGTCGCGAGATGGACAATGCGGTTGCAGAGAGCTATGGCTGAGGAGATTAGGGGAAGCACGGACTCAGATAAAGGTCCTGGAGCGGACGGAGCGGGTCCAGAGGACGCTACTAACGAGGGCGCTCTTAACGAGGACGAGCTTAATCTGTTGCGGTTGGCTGCTTCGGTACCGGTAGGGGAAACGGCTCCGCCCGGGTGAGAATGGGAGAGCGACGGAGAAGGGGTTTCGCCGCGATCAGTCGCAGCGGCGGGCTGGCAATGGCCGTCGGCGTCATTCAGACGGTGACCGTTTGGTCCCTGACGGCCGCCGTTAGGTTCTGATTCGCGGCCGTTCCCATGCTGACGCCTGGAAGCCGTTTCGCGAGTGTGGTGAGCCGTTGATTGAGATGCGCGCTGCGCGTATAACGGGGATGCGGATCCGGGACTTATGTCGGACGGGGGAGTGTGAAATCCGCCGCTGCTGCTTCCTCCGCTGCTGTTGCCGGGGCTTCTGCGGCTTCGGAACGCCGCTTCTGTGCCGTTGGCTTCCTCCGACATACGCTGCTCCGGCATACGCTGCTCCGTTTGTGGTCCTGAGTCCGCGTGTGGCGTAGAGTATTTGTACGGTCTGACCTTATCAGCCCTTGATGTGGGACCTTGGGAATGCCGATTATGGCTCTGCTGCGATTGTTTGGGGCGGGAATCGTTACTATGACGAGGCTGGACATTGTTACTGTAAGGATGGTCGGAGAGCGAACGGAGCGACGACGGAAGAGGCTCGGGAGGGGGGCTGTGAGGCTCGGGAAGGGGGCTGAGACGTTCGGAAGAGGGAATGAGAGGATTCGGAGAGGAGTCGAAAGGTTCGAAAGGGTAGGCAGGAACTAGGGGATCGGAGGCGGGGAATCGGGGTCGGGAGTTTGTGGAGGTAATCGGAGCGGTGCGGTAGAATAATGGAGCATTCTGGCTTTGCCGCTGCCCACCATGATGTTTCGGTGCCTTGGAGCTCCATACCTGCGATCCAGACAGCCTGAATAATCTATCAAGAATGAATTAAGAACATCAAATGCGATAAATCTGTCGAGGTATAATCTACGGAGGGCAGCGCACGCACCGCCGTCTGGGCTCTTGAGTCGACAAGAAAAACACGAGGGAAAAAGAAGAGGAGCGGGCTTAGAGAGAATGCAACGGCGGGACAATGGCCGAAGAATATGACTCTGGGTCGACTCGATAGAGAATGTAATGGCGCGACAATGGCCGGAGAATACGCACCGCTGTCTGGACTCGCGGTCGAGGCATCAGGAGTCGACGCGAGGACTCTAGCAGCGAGGAGTGCAATAGCGAGGATAGCCGTCACGATGCGCCTAAGAAAAAGTTTCGTTGTCCCTTGGGCAACTAAACGGTAATCTGACGGCCATGACGCATGGCACCGCGTTAGGGTAGCAAATGTATGATGGTGGATGGTCGCGACAATGTCGCCTCGCAGTGGAAAGGAGTATGACGAGGGAAGTGCCGGTATTAGGGCACGAAGTCGGGGACGAGGGGGAAATCTAAAGGTCCAACCCGGGATACAGCTGCGGAAAAGAGCGTCATCCGTACATCCTCCTGCAATTTATGCAGTCACGCTGCAGCTAGAAATACTAACTTGGAACTCTGACAAAGCCTTCCCCTATGACCAGCGGTCTGACCTAAACGGAGGGGTCAAGCAGAGGGGCCAGGCAGAGGGGCCAAGTGAAGGGTTGACCTTCGCGTGGGGTGGAGTGGAGTGGAGGATTTCCCTCTCATCACAGAGTCACATCACATACAGTACACTGTATTGAACAGTACAACCTAGACCTCGTTAAAATCAAGCGTGTATGTCAGGACGGCTGCGTTTGTTTTTAGCGGAATGTGATTGTACGTGACACAGCGCGAAACCGACCGTCGGGGGTATTTCCCGAGCACCCGAAGCAGTAGTCGTGTACTCTGGAGTGATGAGTGTTTGGCCCCACTGAGAGGGTTAACTGGTAAGGAGATTTAAAACACTGGAAGGGTCACAACAGCCAAAAAGACCCGCGCACTGGATCGAATGTTGTTCCTGTACCGTCGTGAGCAGGATGACTAGTTCCCTGTTTCCTTCGAGTTTCCAGATGTTCAGGTGACGCTGTGGGATGTGTTGAAGTTCGTTTGGAGACCCTGGGGCAGTTCAAAGAGGCTGGCTCAACCCGTTCTCGTCTGTGGGTTTTCCCAGACTAAGCCATATTTGGTCCAGAGCCATGTGAAATTCCATCTCACAATGTGATAAGAAACCGATCTGTACAGCAACAGACCAGCTCAGGGAATTGTTTTCGCAGGCAAAACACAGCGCGTCCCTTTGTCGTCTTGTCCCGACCTAGCGCATGATGGCCAATGGAAGGAAAGGCATGGACGAGATCGGTTGTGGAGGGAGAGGGGAGGGCTGGTTTGGGGGGGCGAAACGCGCAGGTCTCGATGATTGCGTCGCATAACGACGAGGATGATACATCATCCCAAGTTGATGATCACGCTGCTTGGTGAAGCGCTGGCGAAACCTGTTGGCGGAAATGACGAAAAGTAAATGAAGTCCGACGCAGCAACAAAAGCAACACCTACTGCTACAAGATTTCACCCACAAATCCTAGGTTAAAATTTGGCCTTACAAGGGAAACCTTACAACAAAGCATAATACATTGAAAAGCTTACTACCAGAATTTTCCACCACCTATTGGAAGATTTCCCCCCTCTTCCTTGATACCATAATCTGATTCCAAGCCAGCCCTGCCACTACTAAAATCCCACAACCGGACCCATCTGCCTTCAACCTCCACCACTTGTTGCTGCATCCTCCTCCCAAGCACAACCCTCCTGCGATAGCTGACCAACGTGGCAACCACCAAACCACTACACGCATGCATACTCTCCACTAAAACTCGCCTAACAGTCTCGTTCAAAGTAGGGCCGTGACTAGCGCCAGCGGTGGCAGCATCTGCTGTAGCAGCTTCCCCAACATGGACAACATCAGCATCCCGGTAGCTACCAACACCCCCATGGTTACCACCATCTCTGCAGTTACCACCACCACCACCATCACCACCATCACCACCACCACCACCACCACCACCACCACCACCACCACCACACCACCACCACCACCACCACCACCACCACCACCACCACCACCACCACCACCACCACCACCACCACCACCACCACCACCACCACCACCACCACCACCACCACCACCACCACCACCACCACCACCACCACCACCACCACCACCACCACCACCACCACCACCACCACCACCACCACCACCACCACCACCATCACCATCACCATCACCTTGATCACTTTCATCCTCTGCTTCCACGAGCCAAGGGGGCGGAGCAGTAGCATCCAATGTGCGAATCTCCTCCCCGGTCTCTGCATCCCACACACTCAGGAACCCGTCTCCCCGGCTGCCACTAATGCATTTATAGCTGTCCAAGTACAGAAAATCCACTGTACCGTTATGCGCTTTTGAGCAGGCAAGCAGCTTGAAGCCAGCTATGCATGCCGACAGTTGCCTTGCTGACCCAACAGTCAATGCAGCGTGTGGCCCCCCTGCTTCTACTCCCTCCTGCAAAGGCCCCACGCGCCACATTCGCACATAGCCATCCTCGAAGCCTGCTGCGATGATGTGGCGAGATGGGGAGGAGGAGAAGGAAGCGAGGGGGGAGGATCCGCAGGGGAGGGAGTGCACCTGGGGGGGGGAGGGGGCGAGAAGGAGGGGGAGACGGGAGTGGAGGGAAGATGACATTACTCGAGCTTTGCTGGTCTGAAGGAGTCATAGTAGAAGCAAAGCTCGAGGAATCATAGTGAGGAAGTTGCCTGGTCTTCCAAGCTGCTTAGTAGTAGACACCGCAAGCACAGATAGATTGATCTATTCGTGTAGCTGTAAGCACAGACAGATGGCTAATCTAATGGTAGTGTACGTGTTTCATTGAGAGCAGGTCGATCATGGCCTCCGGACATAATTTTGAGGCGCCTCAAAAATAGACTCCTCACCTGTTTCATTGGGAGCAGGTCGATCATGGCTATGCCGCCTCTGCCCACCACCGGGCTCAGGGCATGGCTGGCATGCTGCTGTAGGGCTTGGCTGCTGTACCTGCTACACCTGTCGCTGCACCTGGTTCGCTCATGCCTGTTACTGTACCTGTTTCATTGGGAGCAGGTCGATCATGGCTATGCCGCCTCTACCCGCCACCAGACAGAGAGCACGGCTGGCATGAGGCGGGAGAGGGAGGAGGGCGAAGGGGGAGGTAGGCGTGCGACACGTGCCGATGCAAAGAGAGGAAGAGGAGGAGGAGGTGGTGGGAGGGTTGACGGTCGAAGGCACAATGTTGCGGCAATCCCACAGACGCAGCTGTTATCAACAGGGAAGTAAAGGAAAATAGAGAGGGATGTTCAGGACCGTCTAAGTAAAATGTAGCGGCAATCCCACAGTCGCAGCTGTGGTCAACAGGGAAATAGAGGGGGATGTTCTGGACCAGATGATAGAAGTCTAGTTTTGATTGAGGCGCCTCAAAACTGGACCGGAACTGGAACGTTTGTAATGAGTCGATTTTTGAGTCGACTCATTACACACTCAAAACTGGACCGGAACTGGAACGCTCAAGGAAAATGTAAAACAACCAACGAAGGATCGGCGCCAGTCAAGTCATGTGATAGAAGTCTAGTTTTGATTGAGGCGCCTCAAAGCCGCGTGATAGAAGTCTAGTTTTGAGGCGCCTCAAAGCCATTCAAGTCATGTCCAACAGTGCACCTGGAAGAATGGATGGAATATGAAAGCGGAGATGCACATGAAAGAATGGATGGAATATGGAAGGGGAGATGCACATGAAAGAATGGATGGAATATGGAAGGGCAGATAGTCCCAGGAAGGCATACAGGCATCTGATGATGGCAGAGAGAAGAGGTGATGCTCTTCGGCAGGTCCTCTTCTTGAGGCGCCTCAAAACTAGAATCCAATCACACAGTTTTTGAGGCGCCTCAAAACCATCTGATGATTGCAGGGAGAAGAGGTGATAGTCCCACGCAGGCCCTTAAAGAAGCTGCTGGAAGTAACCCTCAAAAAAGCTGCTGGAAGTAACCCTTAAAGAAGCTGCTAGAAGTAAGAACAGAGTAGCAGACAGGAAGGGATAGATCCTTAAACCTTAAACCCTGAACCCTAAACCCTGAACTCTGAACCCAGAACCCTGAACCCTAAACCCTGAACCCTGAACCCTGAACCCTGAAACTTGAACCCTAACCCTGAACCCTGAACCTTGAACCCCGAACCCTGAACCCCAAAACCTAAACCCTGAACCCTGAACCCTAAACCTTAAACCCTGAACAGAGTAGCAGACAGGAAGGGATAGATCGAAGAACCCTTCGCTTCGAGGGTCCTTTCCAAGCTAGCGCGGGTTGGAGAAATCCTTACCTTCGCATCTCGAGCCACACTGGTCAGAAGGAAGGGATTGTGACTGGCAAGACGATTGGTGGGAATAGGGAGGGAGAAGGAGGGAGGAGGAGAGTGTGAGGATGAGGGTGAGGGTGAAAATGGCAAAAAGGCATGTGTAGGAGAGAGAGGGGAGAGGGGGGCGAAAGTGAGGGTCGAGAGGGTGACGCTGGTATGCTGCATGTATATATGGAAAGAAGGCAAAAAGAAGGCACAAGCATGCAAGTAGACAGAAGGAATCACCCACATTGCAACAGCCAGGGCAGTTATCGGCCCCTCATGGCCTTTCAGTGTGGCAACACACGCTGACCGACCTTTCCCTGGAAGAAAACACCAGAGAGGGCGAGGGGAATAGGGAGGGGTAGTGGAGAGAGACAGAGGTGAGTGAAAGAGTGATTGCTTTTAGGTGGAGAGGAGATTAGGAAGGGATAATACAGAGCGGGTGGGAAGATGTAGGAAGTGAGACGATGGAGGATTAAGGAGGAGGACCGGTAACAGAATGAGAAAACACCAAAAGAAATAAATGAGAAGAAAGGAGCCATGTTGAACACACAGACCAGACACGTGCCTGAAGGGAGGAGGGACCAGACTCGAACAGTGCTGTCGCTGCTGCCGCTGGCAATGCAGGGGAGAAAGGAGTAGGAGGGAGTAGAGCCAGAGGCATCACTGCTCCCCATGGCAGGGGCGTGAGGTGCCAGAGTGTGAAGTGCCGATGATCCGATCTGCCAGGCAGAGAATGGGGCCCAAGTGACCTGAGAACGTGCGCAGGCAGCTATCCTGGTGGAGGGGAGGGGGGAGACGGGGGTAGAGGGGGGTAGAGGGGGGTAGAGGGGGGTAGAGGGGGGTAGAGGGGGGTAGAGGGGGTAGAGGAGTGCCGATGATCCCATCTGCGAGGCACAGACTGGGGCCCAAGTGACCTGAGAAGGTGTGGAGATGGGGGCGTTCTCTGCACTTTCTCAGCGCTGCTCAGAAAGGACAAGCTGGTTTTGAGAACTCTCAAAAGCCAACTTTCCTCAAGGAGGGAACAGGTGACCTGAGAAGAGAGGTGTTTTTCTGGGAGGGGGTGGAAGAGAGGTGTTCCAATGGCAAGTATTTTTCTGGGAGGGGGTGGAAGAGAGGTGTTCCAATGGCAAGTATTTTTCTGGGAGGGGGTGGAAGAGAGGTGTTCCAATGGCAAGTATTTTTCTGGGAGGGGGTGGAAGAGAGGTGTTCCAATGGCAAGTATTTTTCTGGGAGGGGGTGGAAGAGAGGTGTTCCAATGGCAAGTATTTTTCTGGGAGGGGGTGGAAGAGAGGTGTTCCAATGGCAAGTATTTTTCTGGGAGGGGGTGGAAGAGAGGTGTTCCAATGGCAAGTATTTTTCTGGGAGGGGGTGGAAGAGATCACTGGAAGGAGAGGGAAGGAGAGGGAAAGAGAAGGGCCAAGTGAGGATGCGGGTGGGCGACTAGAATGTCCCCCAGAGACGCAGCGTGCAGTTAAAACTGGCAGACAGGGGGCGAAGCTGCGCGAGGTGAGCTGAGGTTTTTTATTAAAAACCATTCGCCTTGCCCCCAAGGCGCAGGGTGTGGTCCAGACTGGCGGAGAGGAGGAACTCGTGCTCGGGGAGCGGTGGGGAGCGGTGGGGAGCGGTGGGGAGCGGTGGGGAGAGGCGGGGAGGGGAGGGTCGGGGAGGGGAGAGGCAAGGCGCACGGCTAAAACCAGAAGAAAAGGCATGCAGGAAAGAACTGTCTCGCCTTGCCCCATCCACAGGCGCAGGGTGCCGTCCAGACTGGCGGAGAGGAGGAATGTGTGTGAGGGGAGCGGTGGGGAGAGGCAAGACGTGCGAGCTGAGGTAATTAGAGAAAGAGCTCCTCACCGTGCCCCATCTCACCGTGCCCCATCTCACCGTGCCCCAGAGGCGCAGCGTGCGGTCCAAACTGGCGGAGAGGAGAAACGTGTGTGAGGGGAGCGGCGGGGAGAGGCGGGCAGCGGCAGGGAAGGGGGAGAGGTCCACTGGGAGCACGGCTGTGATGCGGCCCTTGTGGGCCGTGAGAACCGCTGATAGCTGAGGCTGGCCGAGCCTTGGCCTAGTCAGCAGCACCGCTGGTCGGCGGGTGTGTAGCTGTGTTCCCCTGAATGCCGCCTTGCACCGTGGAGCCGTCCAAAGGAGAATGTTGGAGCCCTGCACGGGAGGGGGTTGCGGGGCCAAGGGGAGAAGCAGAGGGGCAGGGAAGGAGGAGAGGACGGCTGGGAGCACGGCTGTGATGCGGCCCTTGTGGGCCGTCATTATGGCTGCTAGATGAGTTTGTAACCGTGTGTCTCCGAGTGCTGCTCTGTGCCCAGCCTTGTGCCCAGCCTTGTGCCCAGCCTCGTGCCCAGCCTTGTGCCCAGCCTTGTGCCCAGCCTCGTGCCCAGCCTTGTGCCCAGCCTTGTGCCCAGTCTTCCACAGGAGAATGTTGGATCCCTACACGGGGCCAGGAGGAGGGGAAGCAGAGGGGGCTGCTTGGCGGACTTGTAGCCGTGTTTCCCTGAATGCTGCGGGGCGCCCTGGCTTGTATCGTGGTGTGTTCCAAAGGAGGATGTTGGAACCCTGGACTGGAGGGAGTGATGGTTGAGTGCAAGGCGAGAAGGACAGGAGTGATGCACATGAGGAAGAGGTGAAGGGTTGTGCATGTGCATGTGCATGTGCACGTGCATGTGTGCGTGCGCGTGCATGCGCGTGCACGCGACACCCCGAAACCCAAACCCCGTGCGCCGAAACCCTAGCCTTGAACCCTGAACCCGCGCCTTGAAGGCCAAACAATCTGTGCGTCGCAAGAAGAGAACGAGAGCAGCATGCACCGGCACGGGCACCAGGCTGCACGCACCGGCACGGGCACCAGGCTGCACGCACCGGCACGGGCACCAGGCAGCACGCACCGGCATGGGCACCAGGCAGCACGCACCGGCACGGGCACCAGGCAGCACGCACCTGCACTGCCACCACATGGTGCCACACTGCACTCCCTTCCTCCTCCTCCTCCTCCTCCTCCTCCTCCTCCTCCTCCTCCCCCTCCCCCCCATCCATGAAAAGCCCTGAACCCCAAACCCCTTCTCCAGATCTCGCAGCAGCAGGGTTGGGGACGGCAGTCGAAGCTGGGATGGCGGATAAACCCTCCCCCCCTGCAAACACCAGAACCTCGCTCACTGGCTTCTGTACCCCCCCTTCCCCCCCCCCATCAGCCCCCATCCCCCCACCTCTCCTTCCCCCAACTCCCGCTCCCCCTCCCCTTGCGCCCCCCCTGCCCCTCCCCCTGCGCCTCCCCTTCCCCATGCTGCTGCTGCCGCACCTCCCCCTCCCCTCTCCCCCTCTCCTCCTCGTCCTGCACCCTGATTGGCTGCTGCTGCTCCCCCTGCGCCCCCAGATAGGGGCCATGCACACGAGGCAGGGTCAGCGAACTGCAGCTTCTGTGCTGCCACGTGGCGCTCTATGAATGCCTGGTGGAGGCCCGGGAGTGAAGCAGCCTGGTGTGCAGCAGCAAGGAGAAGGGGAAGAGGAGGGGAGGAGGGGAAGGAGAAAGGGAGAGGCCGTAAATTTCATTCACCGCGTAGAACATTTCAACGAGATTCTGGATTATGACAAGGGCGGTCAGCACGGCCTAAGAGACAACCTGACGGGGTAGCCCTCCTTGATGTGCCACGTGGCATGCCCACGCTGCATCGCTGTTGGCCAGCTGGCGAAGCGACGAGCAGCAGCAGGAGAGGTTGACGAGGTCGCGCGGGGAGAGCCATCGGCAGCAGTGCGCGAAGCAGTCCGCCGTGAGGTCCGCTAAGGACGTTTGGGAAGCCATTGGGAAAATAACGTAGTTATCTGCCTGGTGAAAGAGTTGAAATTTAAAAAACATTTTCTTATTAACAAAGCGACGACAGTTTTCATGTGTTCATGCCGGAGTGGTTAACGGGACAGACTAGAAATCTGTTGGGCTCTGCCCGCGCAGGTTCGAGTCCTGCTGAACACGTTTTGTTTTCTCTGGTTACAGTTTTGGCCAGTTTGGCCCCCAAGTCCACATGTGCACAGCATGCCAACACGTTCCACAACTCACGACCTTCGTTTCCTGAATGAATATTATACAGGGTGTTGGTAAGCTACGGCAGTGGTGCATGCTAGGCTCCCAGAAATACATCCGGACGTCAGCGTTTCTAGTGTATCAGTGTTAAGTCAATCTCCCAGCATTGCAGTTAGATGTCAACCATCTTCCAGCAGTGGTTTTGATGGTAGGCATGGCTGCACACTGCATGTAAAGAGAAAAAGACCAAGGGAGAGAGGCAGGAGGGGTTGTGAAAGGGAGGCGGGGAGGGAGACGGGAGGAGGGAGAGGGGGACGGGAGGAAGAGTAGAAGGGAGATCAGTGATTGGCAGACAACGCAGCACAATCCACGTCGAGAGAACTAGAAGAGATAAGGGAGAGAAGAAGGCCTTTGGGTTGACAAAAAGCCTGCCCCAAACATCCCTGGGCCTACCATACCTTACAGTAGTAAAGGGTAGATTTGGCCTACCACACCTTACAGTAGTAAAGGGTAGAGTGGCCTACCATGTCTTGGCCTAGCATGTCTTGGCCTAGCATCTCTTGGCCTAGCATGTCTTGGCCTAGCATGTCTTGGCCTAGCATGTCTTGGCCTACCATGTCTTGGCCTACCATGTCTTGGCCTACCATGTCTTGGCCTACCATGTCTTGGCCTACCATGTCTTGGCCTAGCATGTCTTGGCCTACCATGTCTTGGCCTAGCATATCTTGGCCTACCATGTCTTGGCCTACCATGTCTTGGCCTACCATGTCTTGGCCTACCATGTCTTGGCCTACCATGTCTTGGCCTACCATGTCTTGGCCTAGCATGTCTTGGCCTACCATGTCTTGGCGCGGTGCAGCACGGAGTGCATGCGGAAGAAGGCCCAGAAGCCCTGGTACCAGTGCAGGCTGCCTGCCTCTGTAGGTGAGATGAAGATGCACCTCAGCATGCCCTGCCGTGACATGGCTTGCCTCAACAACCCAACATCATGGCCCCCTTGCCTCATCAACCCAACATCATGGCTCCGCTCTCACCCCCACCGCCACTTCACTCACCATGTCTTGGCGCGGTGCAGCACAGAGTGCGTGCGGAAGAACGCCCAGAAGCCCTGGTACCAGTGCAGGCTGCCCGCCTCTGCCACCGCTGCCGACCGCATCATCGCCACCACGTCCCTCAGCAGCTGCTGGTCCTCGGGCTCACTGTTTTGATGGGGGGGGGGAGGTAAGGGATCAGACAAGGAATCACCACAGCAGCAGCAGCAGCAGCAGCAGCCATGAGCACATTAGCGCATGCAATCGGTCCAGGCCTACCTTGCAAGCCGAACCTACCAGTGGGGCGAGGTGAGGCGAGGTGAACCTACCAGTGGGGCGAGGTGAGGCGAGGTGAACCTACCAGTGGGGCGAGGTGAGGCGAGGTGAACCTACCAGTGGGGCGAGGTGAGGCGAGGTGAACCAGTGGGGCGAGGTGAGGCGAGGTGAACCTACCAGTGGGGCGAGGTGAGGCGAGGTGAACCTACCAGTGGGGCGAGGTGAGGCGAGGTGAACCTACCAGTGGGGCGAGGTGAGCCACGCCAGCAGGTCCTGAATGGCTTCGGACCGCAGGAGGAGGCGCAGAGAGGTGGGGCGGCGGAGGGCCTCGTTGCGCACGAGGAGGGCGAGGTGGCGCTGGAAGAGCAGCGTGAGCTCCGCCATGTTCATGCGCGCCTCCACGTACTCCCCCTGCTGCGATGCCTGCTGCCCTGCCTGCTGCTCATGCCCTGAATGCTGCTCTGATGGATGCTGCCCATGGCGTTGCCCATGGCGTTGCCCATGCTGCTGATGGTGCTCTTGCCGTTGCTGCTGCTGCTGCTGCTGCTGCATTTGATGCTGACCGTTTTCACCAGTGGCGCTGTTTCCCCCACCCTCTCCTCTTTCCTCCTGCTCCGCCTCTTCCTCCTCATCCCCTTCACTCTCACCCTCCTCCTCTTCGCCTTCCCTCTCCTCATCCTCCTCCAACTCATCCCCCTCCATCCCTTCCCCCCTCTCCTCTCTATCCCCATTCACCAAGACATCCACCTCACCCGCTCCACTCCCAGACAAGCCCCGCCTCCGGAGCTCGCCGCCCTCAGCATCAGTTGCCGTCCAGCTGACGTGATGATCCAGCCTGGGCGGCCACTCCAGCAGCATTCGCTCCTCATCCTCCTCATCTGCATCCCATCCCACCGCTCCCAACCCAGCTTCCATCCCTCCCACCACTCCCACGTCCTCTACTGCTCCTGCCGCCCCTGCCCCCCCTGCTCCCCCTGCTCCCCCTCCTGTTCCCACCCCACCGGCTCCCCTACTCGCTTCACCTCTGTTCGCCTCTGGCTGCACCCACCGTTCTCGTCTGGACAGACTCCGAGACCCGAAGCGTCCTGAACCACGCCCAGGTGTACCTCCCCCAGGTGTACCTCCCCCAGGTGTACCTCCCCCAGGTGTACCTCCCCCAGGTGTACCTCCCCCAGGTGTACCTCCCCCAGGTGCACCTCCCCCTGCTGCATCCAAGCCACCTGATGCCGAAACTGAAATTGGCACTGACGCTGCCACTGCTCCTGCTGCTGCCCCCGCTTCCACCAACCTTGCCTCTCCGCCTTCCCCTGAGAGAGAAACTGACACTCTTCTTGCCGACCCTAGCTCCGGTGTTCCGAGCCTTCTTGACACAGCCCTTGAGCCAGATTCGGGGGTGCCAAGCCTCCTTGAGCCAGCCTCAGGGGTGCTGAGCCTCCTGGAGCCAGCTTCGGGGGTGCCAAGCCTCTTTGACCCGACATCAGATGTGCTAAGTCTGTTGGTGGGCGTAGAAGCACCTGTGAGCCTGCTGCTGTCGCCTACCAACCTGCCACTGAACCCATACCCCCCCCCACCGCCCTCAACACCGGCGGCACCAACGGAGCATCCCCAAGAGCCAGGGCCACCATCAATCCCAGCACCACTGATACCAGCACCACAACCACCACTACCAGCAGCAGCAGCAGCACCGCTGCCACCAGCACCACCCTCCAGGAGCCCCTCGCTCCCCCGGCTCACTGGCATCCTCGCCACCGTCACCTCCCCCACCGCCGCCCCCAGCAGCGCCTGTGACAGCACGCCATACATCTGACTCTTACTTAAGTGTTTCGTCCACTTAGTATCCCCCGGCCCCGCCAGCCGAATTTGCTCAAACCGGTCCCGTAGTCGAAGTAACAGCCGCCGCCGCCGCCGCATTTCAGCCGTGCTCAGATGCTCCAAACCTCCACTTGAGGCTTGGTTCTGAGCCGCCTCAAAATCGGGCCCAAAGCCGCAGAACCGTTCCCAACCGGGACCGCTTCCTGCGTCGCCGTCACCGGTTTGGTCCGTCCGAAAAGCGCCGTCCACCCCGGATTCGACCTCATCTGAGAGGGTCTTGCGGCGGGCGGCCTGGTAGGCGGAGGAGGCGGGGGAGTAGTAGTGGAGGAAGGCGGAGAGGACGTGCGGGCGGAACCAGCGGGCGACGTCAGAGGGGTGCACGAGGTCGTCGACGGAGAGGGAGATGAGGCGCTTGCGAGAGCGCATGGACTTCTTGGCTTTGTCCTTCTGCCACATGTGGTTCAGCTCGCGGCAGTTGCAGCGCGTGATGTACCTGTTGGGGGGGGGGTGCGAGGAGGGGTGCACGAGGTCGTCAACGGAGAGGGAGATGAGGCGCTTGCGGGAGCGCATGTATTTCTTGGCCTTGTCCTTCCTTCTGCCGCATGGCGTTGAGCTCGCGGCAGTTGCAGCGCGTGATGTACCTGGGGGGAGGGGAGGCTGGGGCGCGGAGAGGGGGAAGACAGAGGGGGGTAAGTGAGTGCACTTATTTTCCTTGTGCCTCTGCCACATGGCGCTGAGCTCACGGCATGTGCAGCGTGCGTGCGTGGGAGATGAGGACGAGGGAGGCTGGGGAGTCTGTTTTTGAGATGCCTCAAAAATAGGCGTTGAGGTCGCGGCAGGTGCAGCGTGTGATGTACCTCTTGTGGGGGAGAAAGGGGGCCGGGATAGGAGCAAGAGGGAGGGAGGCTGGGAAACATTGGCCCCGGTGTCGATGCCTATAGTTATACCCGGTGTACCCCGTGAGCACCACGGTGAAGAGGAACTCCGCCAGGGCCAGCAGCGAGTGGAGCATGTCGTTGGAGAAGGCTCCAAAGCAACAAGCAGCCCTGGCCAGCAGGCCCTCACCAGTTGATGAGCTCGTAGCAGAGGATGGCCAGGGTGGGCAGAAAGATGAGGGCGAAGGAGAAGCCGAAGAGCACGTTGGCCCCGGTGTCGATGCCGATGTAGTTGTACCCCGTGAGCGCCACGGTGAAGAGGAATTCCGCCAGGGCCAGCAGCGAGTTGAGGATGTCGTGCGAGAAGGCTGCGAAGGGGGACGCGCCGTACTGCAGGCCGATGCGGATGGCCTGCAGGGGGAGGGTCACCGACACCTGGTGGGCGGGGTGTTGGGTTAGAAGGGAGCAGCGAAAGGGAGAGGGGAGAAGGTAAGAGAAGGCCGCGAAGGGGGACACGAACGCAATAAGAACACCGGTCCGCAATTGAAGTCGGTTAAAAAGGGCATGTTGAATTGGTGGGTTAGCGCTCGCTCACACAACCCTCCAGCACAGAACCTAGCCCTTCCAGGAGATAGATAACACCACTTGGTCGACTCAAGTGGTTTTATGAGTCGACTCAAGAATCACCTACAAAGCACCTCAAGAATCTCCCTGAGCATGTTAAATTGGTGGGAGGGACAGCACTCACACAACCCTCCAGGACAGAACCTGTAGCCCTTCCAGGATCCCTGGGTGGCGTCTTCCGAGTGGCCCTATACAGCAACACTTCCCCCACTAGGAGATCATTAAGAGGGACGGCTCAAAGTGGCTCACACCGGGAATCGTACCCCAGACTGCTCTGATACCATGTTCAAACACCTGACACTCCAACTGCGAGCCTGCAAAGACTATGTTTACCTGAGTGCAATGAGTCTGTTTTTGAGTCGACGAAAAAACAGACTCATTACACATTAAGTTTACCTGCGTATGGGGATGGGGCTCTTGCCTTCCACCTGTGCCGGCCAGAAAGGACCATCTCTACCTGAGTCTGTGGCGACTGCAGGTGATTTTTGAGTCGACTCAAAAGGTGATTTTTATGGGTGATTTTTATGGGTGATTTTTGAGTCGACTAGAAAATCACCTGTGCCTGGCAGCAAGGACCATCTTTACCTGAGTCTGGGGCGACTGCACGCCGAAGACAGCGATGGAAACAAGGATGATGCGCCGCGCGTAGCACGTGAGATGCCACCAGAAGTAGTCGTACTCGTACCTGCACCAGTGGCAGGTGGGGGGGGTCACACACACATACATAACACACATGTATCATTCATTGCAGCACATATCATGCCATGCCACCAGAAGTAGTCGTACTCGTACCTGCATGCACCAAGCAGCACGCAGGGGGAACACACGCGCACGCACGCACATGTCATTTGGTACATGCCAAGCAATGCAATGCAGTGCAGTGCAGTGCAATGCAGGTATCATGACATGCCACCACCAGAAGTAGTCGTACTCGTACCTGTGCATGTGTGAGTGTCAAAGAAACTCATCTGGGGTGCCTTTCATTGGAGCCTCACCTGCTCACCATCCACCACCACCGCATCTTGTGCGTGTGCCCCCTCAGAATCCCCCCTGCTCACCTGTGCCTCTTACATGTGCCTGTTATAACTCACTGCTCACCATCCACCACCACCGCATCTTGTGCGTGTGCCCCCTCAGAATCCCCCTGCTCACCTGTGCCTCTTACATGTGCCTGTTATAACTCACCTGCTCACCATCCACCACCACCGCATCTTGTGCGTGTGCCCCCTCAGAATCCCCCCTGCTCACCTGTGCCTCTTACATGTGCCTGTTATAACTCACCTGCTCACCATCCACCACCACCGCATCTTGTGCGTGTGCCCCCTCAGAATCCCCCCTGCTCACCTGTGCCTCTTACATGTGCCTGTTATAATCACCTGCTCACCATCCACCACCACCGCATCTTGTGCGTGTGCCCCCTCAGTATCCCCCCTGCTCACCTGTGCCTCTTACATGTGCCTGTTATAACTCACCTGCTCACCATCCACCACACCGCATCTTGTGCGTGTGCCCCTCAGAATCCCCCTGCTCACCTGTGCCTCTTACATGTGCCTGTTATAACTCACCTGCTCACCATCCACCACCACCGCATCTTGTGCGTGTGCCCCCTCAGAATCCCCCCTGCTCACCTGTGCCTCTTACATGTGCCTGTTATAACTCACCTGCTCACCATCCACCACCACCGCATCTTGTGCGTGTGCCCCCTCAGAATCCCCCCTGCTCACCTGTGCCTCTTACATGTGCCTGTTATAACTCACCTGCTCACCATCCACCACCACCGCATCTTGTGCGTGTGCCCCCTCAGAATCCCCCCTGCTCACCTGTGCCACTTACATGTGCCTGTTATAACTCACCTGCTCACCATCCACCCCCACCGCATCTTATACGTGTGACCCCGCAAAATCCCCTTGGCCTTCCCCAGCCACAGCACCAGCGCGTAGCACACAGGCGCGCCCGCCACGTACACCACCGCGATCACCACTGACAGCGCAAACACCACCTTGTGGGTCTCCGAGAACCACTCGATATATGGCGCTGCTCCCATCACATCCGCCCCATACCAGTGCTGGTAGAAAGCCTGGAAGCAGCGGTAGGTCACGGCTGCATAGCTGAGGTCGAGCCAGTTGGTGACCCCGTGAATAAGCGTGTTCTCGTACTTGTCAAACATCTCCCGCTTCGTTGTCAGCGGCGCTAAGTCATCGGCGCGAGAGCCGCCGATGGCAGCAGCAGCACTGTTGGCGGCAGAGGTACCGTTGGCGGCAGCAGCACGGGCAGCCGAAGCAGTGGCAGGAGGAGGAGGAGCAGGAGGAAGGGTGGTGGTGCTGGTGATGAGGTGGTTCTTGGGTGCTCCGTAGATTCGAGTGACGGCGAGGCCGTAGAGGCGGTGCGTCAGGTAGAGGCACGCGTAAACGAGGACGCCTAAAACGGGGATGACCATGGTGACGCCCACTGCTGCACGAAGGAGTAGCTGACGGTGCAGCCCGGTCCGATCACATCCTGAGAGAGAGAGGGGAAAGGGGGGGAGAGGGGAGGAGGGGAGAGAGGGGAGGGAGGGGAGAGGAGGGGAGGGGAGAGAGGGGAAAGGGGAGGGGAGAGAGGGAAAGGGGAGGGGAGAGGGGAAAGGGAGGGAGAGGGGGAAAGGGGAGGGGAGAGAGGGAAAGGGGAGGGAGAGAGGGGAAAGGGGAGGGGAGAGAGGGGAAAGGGGAGGGGAGAGAGGGGAAAGGGGGGGGAGAGGGGAAAGGGAGGGGAGAGAGGGGAAAGGGAGGGGAGAGAGGGGAAAGGGGGGGGAGAGAGGGGGAGGGGAGGGGAGGGGGAAGGGGAGGGGGAAAGGGGAGGGGGAGAGGGGAAAGGGGAGGGGAGAGAGGGGAAAGGGGAGGGGAGAGAGGGGAAAGGGGGGGAGAGGGGAAAGGGGAGGGAGAGAGGGAAAGGGAGGGGAGAGAGGGGAAAGGGGAGGGGAGAGGGAAAGGGAGGGAGAGGAAAGGGAGGGAGAGGGGAAGGGAGGGAGAGGGGAAAGGGGAGGGAGAGAGAGGAGAGAACGGCAGGTAAGAGTGAGATATGGATGAGGAGTGACCATGGGGATAAACATGGGGTTGACCATAGTGACCGCCCACTGCTGCACAGAAGAGTAGCTGACTGTGCAGCCAGGTGCAATGGCGTCCTGTGGAGGAGGAGAAATGGAACGGAAGGAGACGTAGTGGAGGAGGAGAAGGTGAGAAAAGGACGATAAAAGGAGAGAAGTGATCCTGAAGAGGCGAACAAGACGAGGGGAGGGACGTTTCGGCAGTACGTACATACATCGATAGGATAGGTGCGAGCTGAACCCTACCAGCACGAAGAGGGTCTCTCACCGGCACGCAGAGGGCGATTTGAAAGTGCTGCATGATGGTGTGAACCCAGGAGCGCAGCAGGAAACCTCACAACAAGAATAGAGCAGGGAAATCATCACCAGATAGTGTGATCAAGGTGCCCTAGCCGGACGAAGAACAGACGGTCTCTCACCGGCATGCAAGGGCGATTTGGAAGTGCTGCATGATGGTGTGAACCCAGGATGGTACCCAGGAGGGCACCAAGGAGGCACACAGGAAGGCAGAGGGAGGAGGGAAGGACAGGAACCATCGCCATAACCCGCAAAGAGAGCAGAGGGGTTCTTACCAAATGGGGAGTGAAACTTACCGGCACGAAGAGGGCGATCTGGAAGTACTGCACGATGGTGTGCACCCAGGGGGGCAGGGGCAGGTTGTACGACCGATAAACGTGAGCATCTGCAGCTCTATAGCGAAGATGGCGATGGTGTGGAAGGAATCGAGAGCACCCCCATGGCCACCCACGCGAGCCGATGAGCACGATCAGCAGCGGGAAGAGCGCTGGAAGGACGCCGAGCACTCGTAGCACAACTTGAGCACGGAGTAGTAGCCGGGCGCGCAGCTGGAGCAGAGGCGGTTCTCGCTGTACCCCGCCTTGCACTGCGGCTGCTGCAGTGCCGTCGACTGAGAATCCGACTGAGAAGTTGACTGAGTTGACTGAGAGGCGGGCTGTTGGGTGGAGTTCGAGGTCTGTCCGGCGGGGAGGGGAGAGTACACCAGCCCCGCACAGCCATCCAGCACGTCACACGCGTACACTGCAGGGCTGCCTGCAGTGATACTGTTAAAGTCAAGCCAAAACCCTTCCTCAACCTGCATCTTGCCACTCTCACACGTCACCGCCACTGTGTCTTTCAGCACGTCACTCGTCGTCGGGCAGGTTAAACAATCCGACAGCGACGTTGCGCCCGGGAAAAAACTATAGCTGCCCGCCGGGCAGAACTCCGCGCCCCGCCCGGACCCGCACCAGCTGCCGACCGGGCAGACCGCGCAGGCCATGTTCGGCGGGTGTAGAACTGCCCGGGCGGGCAGAAAGCGATCTCGACCGTCCGTGAGATCGGCGGAAAAGCATCTAGCGAAGAGGAAACAGAGAGAGTGAGCGAGAGGTTCCCCGATTCCGGCGGCTCGACGATGGTGACGGGGGGGATGGTGGCGCGGCCGTTGACCGAGGTTGCCTGTAGGAGCCCGCTGATGGCTGGTGAAGGCAGGATGGAGGCTTTGGCTCGGAAGTCATTGACCGCCACGAGCCCGGCGGCATCGAGAATGGTGACGTGGAGGTTGGTCACTGGGTTGGCACGGTCGCCTTTGACCTGGAAGATGGTGTCAGCTGCAGCTGCATCCGAGTCGTTCTGGCCTGACCTGGGACAGGGGAAGCGGAGGAAGGAAAGGGGGATCGGGGAACGAAGGAGATAGAGGGATGGGGAATGGTGGGAGAGGTAGCTCGGGGAAGGGTGTGGGAAGGATGGGTGGGCGCCTTGGCTTGGGAGTCGCTGATCGCCACGAGCCCGGCGGCATCGAGAATGGTGACGTGTGCAGCACGGTCACTGGGTTGGCACGGTCTCCTTTCACCTGGATGATGGTTGCAGCTGCAGCTGCAGCTGCATCCGAGTCGTTCTGGGGGACATGGGGATGGGGAGTGGGGATGGGGAGTGAAGGGTTGAAGACTCGGAGAGACCTGACGAAGTGCTTTTTGAGTCGACTCAAAAAGCACTTCATTTCAACATGGCTGTGTTAGGTTCTTGAGAAATCAAGGAGGCAGGGAATATGTGAACATGTGTACACTACATTTGAACATGTGTACACTACATTTGAACATGTGCCGACTCACAGCAAGCGGAAGGAGGCCGGGAGCGTGCCGATGGTATCTTGCTTGTGCATGCTCTCACACCCCACACAGGTCGACCACATGGCACAAGTGAGTGAAAGCGTGCATGCATACTTGACTCACAGCAACTGGAAGGAGGCGGGAGCGTGCCGATCGTATCTTGCTTGTCCATCGCTTCACACCCCACACAGGTCGACCGCATGGCAGGAGAAACGTAGCATCGAGGAACGCCGACCCCAGCCCTCCTGCTGCCATCACGATCCCCCCGTTTCCTGCCCCTCCTGCACCACCTGCACCTCCTACTCCTCCTCCAGTGCTGAGAGCAGGTGTGCTGCATTGCCGATGACTCTGTTTCGGAGAAACGACAACCCGGACACGTTCAGAGGCAGCAGTCCTCCCGTCCCACCACCACCACCGCTGCTGGTGCTGGTGTCGTCACCGCTGCTACCGCTGCCGGCGCCAGCACCAGCAGCAGTGGCATTGCCATTAGCACCAAGGTTGCTGGACCCGGCTTGACTCACCCCAGCCCTGTTTCCCACCTGCAACAACCCTGCAATATCAGACACCAACACCACTGCCCCCACCGCTGCTTTGCTAATCCCCATTCCCCCCATTCCCCCTGTCCCCGTTCCCCCTGTTCCCCCTCCTCACCTCCTCCACCCCCTCCCTCCCCCGCACCCCCTTCTCCACTTGAACCTCCTCCCATGCCTCCCCGGTCCAGATACACAGCGGATCCATCCGAGCCTGCCTCGTTGCTTCGGAAGGCGCAATCCTTCAGCTGCCCGTGCGCGTAGTCGAGCACCAGGATCGCGCCACCTGTCCCTGTTGCCGCCCGGTTCGACTCGAAAATCGAATCGGAGATCTGCAGGGATGTGTTGCCGCCAAAGATTGCCCCTCCTCCCTCCTGCGCCTGATTCTTTGTGAAGTGTGGTACTTCGGCTGTGGCTGCTGCAGTTGTGGCTGCGGCTGTAGCAGCAGCAGCAGGTGCAGCTGTAGCAGCAGATGTAGCTGTGGCTGTAGCAACAGCATCAGAAGCAGCAACAACTGCATCGGCAGCAGCATCAGCACCCGCAGCAGCAGCGAGCGCAGTGACATTGACCTGGGAGCTGACAACCAGCGTGCTGTCAGCATCACAGAAGATCGCGCCACTCTACGCCCCGTGTTTCCCTCAAACACGACCCCCCCTCCCACCACCACAGCCGTCGAATCCGTGGCAAAGATCGCCCCCCCGTCCCTCACATCCATCGTCTTCCCGCCTGCATTCCCCCGGAAAAGCACCGATCCGAGGAAGGACCCCACCGCCTGACCCTGCAGCACAACGGCATGCTGCGAGTTCCCTTCAAACACCGAAGCCCCGACAGGCCAAGCTCCTGCAGATGAGCCTCCCTCAGCTGCTCCTGCTCCTGTGCCCTCACCCGGCCCCCCTGAGACGGTTATCTTCACACCCCCCTCGGCCAGGATGGCCCCGCCCCTGGCAGCAGTGTTGGCTTGGAAGGAGCAGGCGAGCAGGGTGAGGCGCGCGTTCTGGATGCAGTAGAAGGCGCCGCCCTGGATGGTGGCGGCGTTGTGGGAGATGACCGACGAGGAGACGTGCACCTGAAAGTGGGTGGGGGCACGGGGGGGGGGCAGTGGAGAAAGTGTGAGCAGGGAGCACAGAGGTGAGGCGCATGCCCTGGATGCAGTAGGAGGTGCCGCCCTGGATGGTGGCGGCGTTGTGGGAGATGACGGAGGAGGAGACGTGCACACCTGGGAGGGGTTTAAGGGCCCACAGGGACATGGGGCCACAGGAAGGGGTGTGATCATTGAAAGGGTGGAAGGAGCAGGCGAGCAGGGTGAGGCGCGCGTTCTGGATGCAGTAGAAGGCGCCGCCCTGGATGGTGGCTGCGTTGTGGGAGATGACTGACGAGGAGACGCGCACCTGGTGAGGTAAGGGGGCACACGGACGTTGAAGGGAGGGGTCCATCAATCAAGTGAGGCGTGCGCTCTCTGGATGCTCTGCATGGTGACTGACGATGAGGACACGTGCACGGTGCACCTGGTGAGGTACGGGGGGGCACGGACGTCGAAGGGAGGGGTCCATCAATCAAGTGGGGGAGGCGAAGCAAGTGAGGCGCGCGCTCTCTGGATGCTCAGCATGGTGATGGCTGCCATGTGGGACATGGTAGCAAGGAGGACGATTGAGATCACATCACAGGCAGTCGATTTGAGAGGCGTCTCGGAATTCAAGTGCAGCAGCGTGGGAGAGTATAAGGGGGCCAAAATATCCTAGAGAGATTGAATTGTGGTGTAACCAGACGTGCCCACCCGCTCCGTGGCTCTGAAACCGATAATCTCCTCTCACTATCATTGGCACTCACTCACACCAGGGCACCATCCAGGGCGGCGCCTTGTACTGCAAAGTGGACTAAAGTCCAGGAAGAGCAAGGGCACGTCTGATTGTTGCAGAGCAAGGGCTGTTGCCTGGATGGTGCCCTTGGTCTAATTGTTGCGTTGGAGCCCATCTCAGTCCAGAGCGCGCCGCCGTCCATGGCACTGTTGTTGGACAGCAGCGAGCCCGTGATGGAGAGTCGCGTCTGCCCGTGGCTCGGATGGCGTTGCCTGTGCTGGCTGCAACAGGCCTCATGGGACCAAGAGGGCCACATACCTTGGAGCCCATCTCAGACCAGAGCGCGCCACCGTCCATGGCACTGTTGTTGGACAGCAGCGAGCCCGTGATGGAGAGTCGTGTCTGCCCCGTGGCTCTGATGGCGCCGCCCTCGTTGCCGCCCTGGTTTCCCGTGATGTTGCAAGCTGTGATTGCAACGGCCGCCAACTCGCTCATGGAGATGCAGCCTCCTCCGGATGGCGCGCTGCAAGGGAGGAGGAAAATGGGGGAAAGCGGGAGGGGGAAAGAGGGCAGCGGCAAAGGAGAGAGTGAGAGGACAGGGATGAAGGCTTGACGGGGGCCAGCTCTATGGGTGAGAGCGGGAGGGGGAAAGAGGGCGGGCAAAGGAGAGAGTGAGAGGACGGGTTGAGTGAGGAGGGGGCAACGGTCAGGTCGCTCATGGAGATGCACCCTCCCCCAGATGGCGAAATGGGAAACGCGGGATGGGGAAAAGGGGCAAAGGAGCAAAGGGACTTGTGAGCCTATTCAGAAGTGATGCAGCCTTCCCCAGATGTGAACTCACTCATGGAGATACAGCCTTCCCCAGCCCAGATGGCACGCTGAAAGGGAGAAATGGGGAAAGCGAGAGGGTGAAAAGGGCAGGGCAAAGGGGCTGTTTAGCTCGCGCATATCAGCTCAGCATGACCC